GAATTGATTGGTAGACCACTTTGTAGCCAAACCAATACCAGAAGAAGACCTGGCCGGCAATTTCAAGCCAACGATGCCACCATGCGGGGCCTTTCTTTGGCCCTTGGCCCATGATCAGGTACTCCCAGCTCAAGCGGTATAAATTGAATCTTCCAAATAAAAGTATGGGGTAGTAAAGGTAGTGCTGATATCGTAGCATAAATTTGGCAAAAGGGTCGTAAGTCATTATGCGGTCGTAGTATGTGCTTCTCAAAGAGTCGAAGAATCGATGCGAGATGGCGAAGAATGGCATGTGCTCGATGTCAGGGTCATGTTCTGGCGAATTTGTAACGATGTGATGCACATTATGATTCCGTTTCCACCATCCTAAGCTTAGACCTCCGATGAAGTCTGCAATCACTATCCCGACCACCGTGTCAATCGTAAAGTTGTGCGTTATGCCCATGTGACCTGCATCATGGACCGTGAAAACCAATTGGTGCCACAGTATACCCAGGCAAAGTCCACTAGTGCCATACCAGCCGTATCGTAGGAGTATAAGAAACATACTGAATAGGAAAGTATATCGAGAAAGTTCAATGAAATAGGAAGTATAGTTGCATTGAAAGAGTCCCTCGGCTCGAAGTCGGCCGAAGAGGAGGCGGTATTTCTGTACGATGTCGTCTTGTGTCGCGGGGTCCAGTGCTGGGTATTTCGCAAGGTCAAGATCAATTTCGTGCTGCGTGCGAGCATCCATTGTTGAGAGCTTGCCCGGGTCATTGGTTGTATGCGACTCAATTGACGATAGAGAAGATATTGACGAGACTTCATGAAGCTCCGAGTTGTAGCTACGCCGTCGTCGCCTGAAATCGCTCGAGCCATCAATGGCATCAAATAGTGGAGAGTCTGGAGGTGAGCTGCTCCCAATTGAAGTATCCTCATCTTCTGTATCCTCGCCGGTCGCTTCAATGGCATCAGAATAAGTCCTAAACTTGCCGCCTTGGATTGGTGGTAGGAAGTTTCTCCATCGTCCCTCAATTTTGCCAACCTGAAACTTCAACATGTGCTGGAGGGCCTCGACCGAATGTAGTCTGTCAATGGCTAGATTAGCGAAGTCCTGCCCCAATTCAGGATTGGATTTCCGTACGCGTGCACTTCGTCCGTAGCATCGCGGCCAACCATGTGCATGATGGCCTTGTCTCCGCCTGGATGATACCTGAGCCAAGCATCCACCTTGAGCACCTTGCCATCAACGATGATCACCGTCCGGTCTTCTGCAATCATGCCCTCGACCTGCCTTCGAGTGAGGACAACATCTTTTTGAGGCATTCGACCTGACACACTGCTTGCCAGAGCCATACTGAACGGACTAAGCTAAGCCATGTCGATTATCCTTGGGGATTGGTGTCAAAATATGGTACAATTGAGGACTCTCTGAGCCTTTGAATTGACTGTTCCAAGTGATGAGACCGTGGTATCTTGGTACCTAGAGAACCTGCCAAGGTGGGCTCGAGATCGCTGCTGACGATCATCCGCAACGGACGAACTTGCCGCCCTACTGTCACGCGATTGGGGAAGGTGGGGTTCCTCACCCGCGCGGGTCTTGTTTCTCATGTCTTGTCTTGAAGACTTGAACCAAGACAAAGGGAACCTCAAAGATCAAACATTCCTTCATCCGATGTATGTCTCTTTCTTAGCGATGGCTTTGGGACTGGCGAGCTCTAATTAGAACATCTGGGGAACTTGAGAAGGGACAATGTCTGAAATGTAATCAGTACGACCCACGCTGCTTGTGATCTGTAGGGGCTGTTACCATCCAATGCATCGGATCTGGCCATCCAGTCGATTATTTATCCTTATTCAACGGCACTTACCTGGGTAACTAACCCCTCAATCGCACCGTCACAGCCCAGGAGAAAATGGCAACCATAGAAGCCCTTATCCAAGAATGGCTACGTTTGGACAGGGATGAAGCCACGAGGACGGAGATTCTGGAACTCGTCAAGCAGCAAAACGTCAAGGAATTAGATTTTCTTCTCGGTTCGAGGCTCACATTTGGTACAGCTGGTCTCAGGGCTCGAATGGGAGGGGGCTTTTCACGACTCAACAGCTTAACTATCATCCAAACATCCCAGGGTCTAGCTCAGTATCTACTAGAAGAAGAACGGGCCTCAGCAGCTACGGCAGGAGTAGTTATTGGGTATGATGCCCGCCACAACTCCAAGAAGTTTGCAGAACTTGCAGCTGCCGCCTTCATTGCCAAAGGGATTCGAGTCTCGTGGTACGAGGATCTCGTTCATACTCCAATGGTGCCTTTCGCTGTGAAACAGCTTCATGCCGCCGCTGGTATCATGATTACTGCAAGCCACAATCCCAAAGACGACAATGGCTACAAAGTCTACGGGTCAAACGCATGCCAGTAGGTGCTTTTATTGTCAGCTCTTCGTGCTCGTACTCAATCTTGAGCTTGAGCAGTAAGATGGAGTCTGGTAGTAAAGCTATGGCTTCGCTTTCGAGAGTCGTTCCTCAAGTCAAGCTTTAATCTCGAAGAAGAACTACTGACTTGATGACTATATCGCAGGATCAATAGCCCAGCAGATGCCAAGATTTCAGCCGCTATACTAAACAATCTAGAGCCAGTGACCTGGGACATCAAAGGCAACGGACAGTCCAAGCTGCTCACCCCAGTGCTGGACAACATGCGGGCAAGCTACCTTAAAACAGTACATCAATACGTGGATGTTCGCCCAAGAGATGCCGGCTTTCCTCTGGGATTTGTATATACTCCTATGCATGGTGTCGGTCTCGTTCCCATGGAAGCCATATTGAAGGTGCTAGATAGCCATGACCGCATGGTAGTAGTCCGGGAGCAAGCCCAGCCTGACGCCGAGTTCTCCACTGTGGTTTATCCGAACCCCGAAGAAACAGGGGCTCTTGACCTAGCAAAGGCAACAGCAAACCAGCGGAATGTACGATTGATTCTTGCCAACGACCCTGACGCAGATCGTTTTGCCGTTGCCGAGAAGCTAAATGACGGTTCCTGGCATCAATTCACCGGTGATCAAGTAGGGATTCTTCTCGCGGATTACCTGGCCAAAGGGATAAAGCCCGAAGAATCGGGTGAAGAGTGGATGTTGACGACCGCGGTGTCTTCCCAGATGCTTTCAGTGCTTGCAGAAGCTCGAGGATTCGCCGTTGAGGAGACCCTTACAGGATTCAAGTGGCTTGGTAATCGAGCATTAGAACTTGCGGGTAAGGGCAAAAAGGTGCATTTTGCCTACGAAGAAGCGCTAGGTTACATGTTCCCTGACGTCGTCCATGACAAAGATGGGATTGCAGCCGCTGTCGTTTTTCTGCGCGCTTGCAAGGATTGGCCATCATGTTCCCCGTGGGCTAAACTACAGGAATTGTATGGGGACTACGGCTATTTTCATACGATTAATACGTACTGGCGGTCTCCAGACATAACAGCAACGTCGGCAGTATTCGATCAAGTGCGTCGCATTGGGGACCCTTACCCAAAGCTTGTCGGACGAAGAAATGTAGTCCGCTGGCGGGACCTGACCGTGGGGTATGATTCCAGTACTAACGACCACACACCTGACTTGCCCGTTTCAGAAAGTAGTCAAATGATCACCTGCTGGCTCGAAAAATTCGATGATATTGACGAAGGAATCCGCTTCACGGTTAGAGCATCAGGGACTGAACCCAAGATCAAGATATATTTGGAATGCCGTGGCAAGGATCCATTATCAGCCAAGACAGGGGCAACCCAGATGCTGGAGAGTATAAAGCAGGAATGGTTCAATGATCCTTGCCTCATTATGGAGAAGAAGTCCTGACTTTGTCAATGTCAGATGATGCTCGAACAGAGCAAGCATCTATCTCCATTGGCTTCAAACCCCCACTGGTGATCAACCACGTACAAGCAGCTAGCGCTTGGCTTATTCCTGCGCTCCGTAAACACCAAAAGAATTGTTCAACAAGGGGCCAAAGAACAGACGTGTGACTCGCCTGCTTAATTTGCAAGCGCAGCAAACCGTAACTTCGTTGAATTTAACCTCCTCCACCACCTCGATTAATCACGGGATTGAACATGTACACATACGCATGTTTGCTCTGGCGTTTGCTAAACATTGATTACACGCTTGATATTCTTACAAAACCCAGTCGTAGTGACGCTTTCTAGGTACGAAACTCGAGCGCTATCTTCATCACTACACAACATTCTCCAAAAAGCCAACTTCAACGGAACAAAATCCCATTCCATACCTGGACCCGAGTACCTTCAGACCAACCTTTAAATCCTCAACAACATGGATCGCTACCAACCTTGCCCCTCCCGGCCTCCCCGTCCCCTTCGTGAACCCAGCTTCTACCACGACTCCGACCATCCCCCTAGCTCGTACGATCGTGCTGCCTACCCTTGAAGCCGTCACGGCGGACGTCGCTCATCAGTCATACCCACGCCGATGTCCCAATCCGCCGACTCTGCACTATAAAGTATTGCAAATTCTCTCTGCCTCCTTTCGCAGAACTCTAGAATCATGACCTATAGCAGCGGCAGCAGACATGGTCGACCAACAATGTCTCGCCAGCGCTATGCAGGCTACGGTTGCTGCTACCCTTGTGGTTCGGGAGAGTGGGCCGGGGATTACGAGCCGATGATGGAACGCCCATACCGGGATCTGTATGGCATGGACGGGAGGCGAAGGGCGTACGACGTTGATGAGTTGGACGATAAATGATGATGGTGTGCTGGATCATGGGGAACCTAAGTAGTGGATGATCGGTGTGCTAGGATGCTGTTCAGGCCTTTAATCCAAGTTGGAGCGAGACATGGCCTGAAAAATGGTTTCGTTCAGCAGCGAGAAGTCCATAGTCAACACGCTCTGATGCCACGCTCCGGGATAAACTCACCGATGTCCACGAAGTGTGGAAGTAGAAAAGCTTGACAGCACGCTATGTACAAAAGTCCCAGTCCCCTCGCTCTCTCTTTTCCGCACCCTCTACTGCGCGCTCTAATAATGAATCGCCTTCCCATACGTCGCCATCGCCGCCTCCTTGAATGCCTCAGCCAGCGTCGGATGCGCGTGGCTCGTCCTCCCCACGTCCTCACTCGACGCGCCATACTCAATCGCCAGCACCCCCTCCGCAATCATCTCTCCCGCATTTGGCCCCACAATATGAATCCCCAGTATCCGATCCGTCTCGGCATCCGCTAGGAACTTGACCATTCCCTCCGTCTCCAAATTCGTCTTCGCCCTCGAATTCGCACTAAACGGGAAACTTCCCGCCTTGTATTTCACCCCCTGCTCTTTCAACTCCGCTTCGTTCTGCCCAACCCAAGCAACTTCTGGGTGCGTGTACATGACGGAGGGAATGGCGTTGTAGTTGACGTGGCCGTAGCCCTTTTTGACGAACTCCACGGCTGCGACGCCTTCTTCTTCCGCCTTGTGTGCGAGCATGGGGCCGAAGGTGCAATCGCCTATGACGCGGATGTGGGGGAGTTTGGTCCGGTATTGTTCGTCAATGATAAGGCGGCCTTTATTGTCGACCTCGAGGCCGATGTTCTCGAGACCAAGGCCGGCGGTGTAGGGGCGACGGCCGATGGCTACGAGGACGACATCCGCGTCGAGCTAGCAGAAGGTCAACAAGGGGCCTGGCAGCGCGGGTCAGAACAAGGATGGCTTACGGTCTCTGCTTTGCCGCCCTTTGCAGCTTCGACTTCCAGCTTCACGCCCTCGCCGCTGGAATCACCTTTCAGGACTTTAGTGCCGAGTTTGAATTTCATGCCTTGCTTTTCCAGTATCTTTTTGGTGGTTTTTGAGATCTCGGCGTCCATGCCTGGACCTCCGATTTGGCCCAGGAATTCAACGACTGTGACTTCAGATCCTAGTCTTGACCAGACAGAGCCCTACGTACCCAGCATTAGCATACTGCTTCCATGTTCGGCATCCAGCCCGGGTTACCATTTCAAGACCAATAATGCCCCCTCCGATCACCACCATCTTCTTAGGCACTGATTCCAGCGCGATTGCCCCGGTACTCGTAACGACCTTCTTCTCGTCTATAGTAAGCCCAGGGAATGGCGTCGCTTCACTGCCCGTAGCGATGAATATATTCTTCCCCCGCAGTGTCTGCTCCCCACCGTCTATCAGGTTGACCTTGACCTCATTCTCCCCAGAGAACGCCCCAGTGCCTTTTATGTATTCGACCTTGTTCTTCTTGAATAAAAACTCCACCCCTTTCGTTAGGCCATCCACTGAGGTGTTCTTTGCAGCCATCATCTGTTTCAAGTTGAGCTTAACATCGCCGACGTCTATGCCTCGCTTTTTGGTATCGTGTAGGATTTGGTGGTACATATGTGAGTTGTTGAGGAGGGATTTTGAGGGTATGCAGCCGACGTTTAAACATGTTCCACCTAGAACACCGCGCTTTTCTATACAAGCCACCTAGTTGCGTGTGAGTCTCCCAACTTGACAACATTCGTAAACTAGAAGCAAGCTACCTTCATGCCCTCTTGCCCTGCTTTTATGGCGGCGACATAGCCGGCAACGCCCCCACCAATAATAATCAGATCATGCTCCGCTAGAGACGGTCAGCAAGCTCCAGGTACAGACCCTTTATAGTGCTTACAAGCTTCTGTTGCGTAGCCTCGACCTCTGCTGGTGTATAGACAGACTCCGGTTGGTAAAAATGTACTAGAGCAGCTCAACGGTCTCGTGGCGGACCTTGACGCGGATTTGGGGATCAGAGTGCGAATCATGGTGGAGACAAGTGTGGAAGGAGAGGAAAAGAGTGTAAAGGAGGCACTAAGATAGCAAAGTCAATTCCCAGTGGTTGAAGAGTTGCTCGATGGCGAAAGAATTAAATGGCAGCTTTGAACATCTTCGGCGACCCCATCTCGGCTAGCGGCGGCGAGCCCCAACTTCAACCGCTATAAAATCCACACTTACCATCACCAGCTACCAGTTCAACTGCCTTGAGGAGTGTATATAAATTAGGCTCGTGAAGATGGTCTGATGCTACGGTTTGATACTATAGAATTTCCGTGGGAGCAGCTATCACCAAATGCCAGGAACCATCTTCCACCTCACCTTCTCCGTCGCCCTCTTCCACTCCTTCCCATAAGCTCGGTCCATATACCCCTCGAGGACGCGCACAGACGTGCCACATAGGATATAAGCAAACATAGCCAACGCCAACAACCCAAAACCCCACCCGCCGGCCGCAGTCGCAAACGCTGTTCTCCAAATCGTGAATCCGAGGAAGTTGGGATGTCGGACCAGGCCCCAGACACCTCACGTGCACACTTTACCTCTGTTCTTCGCATCTTTCCGAAACAGATATTTGCTGTGATCGGCTATGAAGTGGAGGCTGAGACCGGCGACGAAGAAGATGGGTGTCCATTCGAAAATTGTCGGTGACCAGGTGGGATTGCGAGATGCTAAGTACACAAAGAGAAGGGCATGAATGCTGTCGAAAAGGTTTACTTGCCTACATGTTATCTGGCTCAGTATGTTTTTGGTCAAGATGGGGATTGACTCAGAGGACAAGTCCTATGAACAAAGTAGCCGTGGCCATGTCTCGTGGCTCAAACCACAGTCCTCATTAGAAGTTGACCCGGGAAAACAGACTCACGTGGTAACCTGGATCGATCCACCTTGTCCGCTCATTGGAAACTTCTCGCGCCTCCACACGGTATTGTACATGATGAACGTGACCGACGGGAGAGCCACACCCAGAAATACCATCGCAGAGTACGACGGCAAGCCGAGAGATTGCTCGATCCAACGCAGCAGAAAATCCGGGAAAAACGGGATGGCCAGGCCGTCGGTTGGAGGAGGTCGAGATGGATAAGCCGAGGGAAACCTTGAGAAGATTGATAGCGCGGAGGTTGGTGGCGCCAAGAGTGAGTAGAAGAGTACAGGCACCGCTGTACGGACCACGACGAAAAGAACGGCGCCTGCTGCGCTGCCACCGTACTGGGCCCGAAATGGGAAAAGGTCCATTGGCTCCAGTGGAGGCGATGCTGCTTTTTTCGATGCCATGCTCGCTCGTTCTCCGGTGTGATTCTGTCAGGCTTTGGCGGAGGGGAAAAGGACGATTTTGGTCGGCACGCTTGATCAGAAACCGGGCGAGGTGAGTCTGGAAATAGAGCTAACTCTGAAGACATCAATGTAAGGATTCGATTACAATATCTGCATTTGGAGAGTAAGCGCTAATTAGGCTAACTATGGCGCCAATTGAATAAACTATAAAGGATCGAGAACCGTAAGGTAGATCCAGTGTGCTAGTGTAGATACAGATAGAAATTTATGCTACTGTGGCAGAGGAAGCAAATCTCTGGATGTGGGTAGCTTGTAGTCCTCAAAAACAGCTCTCAGGTCCCCTTATGCCGGCTCTCTTTCCACTCTCCCACCAACCCCTTGTAATCTGCCTGACCATAACTGCCCCCAAACACCTCCCCCAACCATCCCCATCCCTTCCGCCGACTCCTCAAGCCCAAATCCTGCAACAGCATATCAAGATACGCAATGCCCTCAAACACGACATCCGGATGCCCGGCACCAAACCCGTACGGTGTTCTCCACTTCCCCCAGCGTTGGAAGAGCGCATTGTCGTACCTGATATCATCTACCGTCCCGATCTGCTTGATCGCAATGCCGTTCTCATGGACAAGCGTTTGCTCCAGACGCAGCTTTTTAGAAGGCTTACTGATTGATTTCACGGAACCGAGCTTGTCGTTCATGTAGGCGTAGGCCCAGATACTGCTGATTTCCGATCTGACCGCGTCCTGCGATTGGGCGACTACGCCTAGGAAGACAATGTCTCGAGTTGGCACGAGGGCGGTACCATGCCCCTCCAGAGCCGCCATGGAGTGAATGCTTGACGAATTCTGCCCTTTTCTTGTTCAACCAGCGATTCCTGATCCATTTTGGGCGCAGTTGCAAGCTTCGGGAACCTGTCGAAAACCTCCGCATCAACACGTGCGTCCAGCTTGTCCGAGATCTCCTTTTGTGTTTTGGTATACTCCGTACTTGGCAGACCTAGATCTGCGGGCATTTCCTTTGGCCGGAAATCGATACTTGGTCTCCATTTCCACCCCATACTGGCAACAAATGCATCGGTCTGATCCGAAGTCTCATCCTCAAAGCGTATGACATTTTCTGCTTCGAGAGATTTGACGTCCTTTCTGATCACTTCCACTTGGACAATCCTCACGAGTTCAAAAAAAAACCTTTGGATAATTCAAGATTGCAAGGCTCACACCATACCAAAACAATGGCTCATCCGGTACCGAGTTCTTCGTTGCTTCGCTCTTCAATATGCCGCTCTGCTCAAGCGTATCGGACGCCATCTTCGCCCAGAAACGGTCTACAAACCATCGACCCCAGCTCGTGCCGTGAAGCAAGTTCCGTAGGTATCCAAAGCCATCCGCATCACCCCAAACGCACGGAGAAAGCCATGTAAGAGGCCGTGTTGTGGTTAGCTTTTCGAGCCAATATCTAAAAGGGCCGATGTAAATATGTGCTGACGCCATGTATGTTGGGCCATGGCCCGAACCTCGGATAATCCAGGTCACTCGTTCACCATGGGTCGCCACCAGGTAGACAATGTCATACACAGCTTTGCCGCCCCCCAAAACGGTGTCTTCGTAGATTCGGGGTGCTTCGCGAGCGTAGTCGCCAAAATTAACAATTGGCGCAGCGAACTCCTCGCTGCCCTTGATGTTAATAGGAACAGAAGCGGACGAGAGACCGGCAGCTATAACGAGCTTGGAGCATCTAATGGTCCGTTGTGCTGGCGGCGGTCCAACAGCTTGCCCCTTTGACCAGGCGGTCTCGAGCTCCAGCCTCCACCCCGCTTGCAGCTCTTCTGCAACCATGACCTTTTGACCCTATTCGATTCGCCTTGTCAAATCATGCTTCTCAGCGTACCGACCGAAGTACTCGTAAATGACCTCGCCAGGGATATGCTCCTCATCTTTTACGCCAAGCACATCGTCCATGGGGAAACTCGGTGTACTCGAATGTTCCACGCAGGTTGTTTGACTTCAGGCCTGAGTAGAGGTTTTCCTTCGCCCAAACACCGCCAACCGCCAGGTTCGAGTCAACGATCAGTAGCTTAAGCTCAGATTCCGGCTAAGGAAGATACAGGCTGCAGTTAAACCTTGAAGGCCTGCTCCGACGATGACTACGTCATAATTGAACTCCATGGCGCACTCTTCATTGAAGAACACAATGATCGACAATGTTGATGGTATCAATAAAATCGGGAATTGGGGCCGCGAATGCTTTCAACAAGCAGAGATGGATTGAATCGACGAATGTGAGACGGAAGACTCCACTGCCTCGAAGCAACGCAGCCTAAGGAACACACCGATTTGTGTGGAGCAAAAAAAAGCGGTCTACTTTTTCGGAGACAAAAAGCTCGAGGCAACATTTGTAGCATTAAACTCAGATAGGCAAGGATCCCGCGATCCAAGATGCGCACCTTTGCACAAGATGAGGGGACGTGGGGACCCAGACAAGCACGAAGGTATTAATACTTCAGGGTGTAGAGACGTTTGGAACGACGATGTATTTGCCAAGGATGAGTGCTAGTCGTCAGCCGGGATCTGGTGGGTTGCCATGACCAACAAAGCATCGCATGCTACCTTACATCCCCATTTGACCATTGCTTGATCGACCATGCTTCCGGCAACATCGGTTTTACTAACCACTTTCTTCAGAAAGTACCGTAGGCCGCTAGCCATCTCAGGGATCTCTTTAGGCTTAAGGAAAATATCCAACAAGACCTTTTCGTTCCTGCTTTTGTCCAAGCCCTGTTGCGAATGTAGGATTGTCGTGATGAGTAAGATCTCCACGAATGTCCGAGTTTTAGACTGCAAATAGGCAAGATTGAGGTTCTAGTCGGGTCAGTGTGAATACATCATGGTATCATGATCAAGAGGAAACACACCTTGAGGACGCCAAGTCCCAACCCGCCCTCTGCAATTAATACTCCAAACATCCTTGCTAGGTTGACCAAGCTTCTCAGCCCAAGCTTGCCTTCGTCATCTTCGTCATATTCTTTAGGCTCGTCTTCACCTTCACCCAGCTGCTGGAAGAGATCCCACAGCGAAAATTGGAATGACATTTTGAGCTTCTTGTCTGAGCACACCCGCCTCGATAAAAAAGTATAGAACGGATTGTAAAGCTTTTCGGCCCCGGCACACTGTATCAGCACCTTTGATATCTCCAACTCCTGACTCCTTTTGAGACACAACTTCATCAAACGAATATATGCATCATTGTAATCCGTCGCGGACATGATAGCGATGAAGATCGAGCGCCTTACATCGGTGTTCATCCGCTGTTCCTTCGCAAGTTGTATCAGATCGGTAGCAACGCCGGCCATGTTAACCTCTCCATTGTTCTTGCCACGGACGGGAGAGGGTTGCTCAGTTCGCTCGGTATCATCTGCATCGTCGTCCTTATAGCTAGCTCCTACTAGCCACCACTTGCCTCTCTTGTCTGTCTGACGCAGATCTTTGAGCCCAATCCTAAGGGGCTCGCTTGCTCTAATGTTTCTCTGATTCAAAGATCCAAGGGTCTTCCTCATTCGAGTCGTGTGCTCGGAGGTAACGGTCGAAGCAGCGACGCCTGTCTTCATGCGGTTGTTCTTAAGATTGTTGATCGTTTCGATCATGAACTTTGTTCGAACAGAGAGCTTCTCTTCCCCTGCGTCGGCTACTGCGGCCTGCAGCTGCAGCACAATTTCTTTCAAGGAAGACGGATCATCTTGTCTTAATTGCGGGCCCGAGTTGCGGATGATCTTCAGAAGGAGCTCAGTGTTTGTCTCGGACAATTCATGGAGGAAAAGGCGGACGAAGTCATAGATCAGTTTGCTGCCGATAACCTGGAAATTATACAGCTCTGCAAGCAAGCTTATTAGATTGGTCAGCTTCTTGCCAGTCCTATCTCGATTTGCACTCAGATGATAGTTCTGCCTGAAGTCCTCGTCTATCCTCTGAATGATTTGGGCACCGAAATCCGTTCCCACGATTTTGTAAACTGCAGCAATGAAGCCTGCATGTAGGATAACGAAAGTATCTGACAGAGTGGTAGGATCAGAGAGAAGTCCCATCAGCAAATCAAGAAGCGTGGTAGTGACATGTTGACGAGGATGATCGCGATATATAGCTTCCATATCACCAAGTATAGATATTAGGTTCGCTTCAGACAACCGATTTAAGAGGCCCTGTATCTGTCGCCGTAGTTGCGAGAGGTCTTCCGATTCTGTAGCATCTTTGTTTCGTAATGACGGTGGAACATATTTCCCAACCTCTGTAGAAGCAGAAGAGGTCACAGGGGCAACATATGGGTTTTCCCGTGTCCTTTGTGTAGTCTTCGATGGCAATGGCAGCTCGGCCTCTTCGCCGAAGGACTCAAACTCGTCGTCTTCGTCCGTGTTGAATTGGCCATGCAGTTTCTCTTCATCCTCCTCTTCGTCCTCATCCTCATTGCCTATGACGCTGTCTTCGTCCTCGCCTTGTAAAGACGCGCTGCTGCTGGGATCCTCGATAATTGGCTTGCTCTCCTGTGCTTTCTGCCTCTTTCTCTCCAGCCATTCATCTTCTTCACTTCTCTTTCTTTTTCCTGGTCGACCTTCATCCAAGCCCACAGCATCATCTATGCCCTCCAGCAAAGAATCTAGGCCATCGTCTTCAAAGGACTTGGGAAGTTTCTTTTTTCCCTTTACCCCCAGCGCCTTCTCCAACGCTGCAATCTCCGCATCATCAGCTGCAAGCTTGTCTTGAACCCCTCGTGACAATTTCTTCGGCGGAGGTGGAGATGGCGATAGTGATTTCGCTTGCGGTCTTGCCTCCATTGGCTTAGACTTCTTTAAGATCGACTTTGGCGCTTTTGGCTGCACCGAGGTCGTTTTGACCTTTGGCTGCTCAACAGCAGTGGGAACTTCCGAGTGTCGACTATCATCTTCGGGACTCCGCCGTCTTCGCAGGGGCCGCGCATTTCTCAGTGGGGCATGAGCCGATTTCTTCTGCACTCTGGCAGCTTTTCTCTGCTCTTTCCTATTCGTAGGGCCGCCGCGTTTCTTCCCAACGGAACCATATTGCCCACCAGAGATTCCAAGCTCTTGAAGTAGCAGCTGCGGAAGCTTTGCAGTATTGTCAGTGGGCTGCGGCATTGCAGTGATCATGTAAAAGCCAGCTTCAAACACATCTGAAAGTCGAAACTTCCCCGGACTTTTGCCGGAGTTAAGCTCTCTTAGCGAGCGAGCGACATCCCCACACAAAACCTCGGCCAGCAGTCAATCAAATTCGACACCAGCCTTTCATCACATTACCGAACCCAGCTGTTCAGGTCGTGATTGGCAACAGCACATTCCTCAGAAAACTCCAGTCCCCAGCATTCCAAGATCCAGCAACATCTCACGACAGGCAATATGTCGTACCAAAAACCCGAGAAGGACTTCGGTGACGGACCCGTAAGTTTTTGGTCTTTACCTGCGGTCTACACAAGTCTTTCGATGAACCCGAGGCTAACACCGCTCACGTTGCTTTTTGCAGAAAATCCACAAGATCCGCATCACCCTGACATCGCGCAAGATTCAGAGCCTGGAGAAGGTCTGCCAGGAGCTCATCGAGCGTGCGAAGAGCAAGGACCTCCGCGTGAAGGGCCCCGTCCGTCTCCCAACCAAGAGCCTAAAAATCACCACGAGGAAAACGCCTTGTGGTGAGGGGAGTAAGACGTGGGATACGTATGAGATGCGCATCCACAAGCGTTTGATTGAGTAGGTCTCGCCAACACAGGGGGTTCAGGCTAGATGGGAGCTATGCTAACGCGTCGTGCTGAATCTAGTCTCAACGCACCTACGGAGGTTGTGAAGCAGATCATCGTTAACATCGAGTCTGGCGTGGAGGTGGAGGTTACAATCGCTGCTTAATAACCGGATGAGACCATGGCAATGGATCTGTTTTGGGCGGCTGAGGCGTGGAAATGGAGTTTTCCAGATGCAGCTGGCATTGATAGTCTCAGACCAGCCGCAATCGCAGCATGGAACTTGTTTTCTACCAAATTGGTCGACAGTAAGCTCATGCAACAATGTTCCACTCGGTGCCTTTTGGTCGCGTGTTTCACTAAATTTCTCGTCTGCGGTCTGCTCACTGGTGTCTAAAGCGAAAAAACCGAAGCAACTATGGGGCTTAAAAATTCCAACTGCACCAATCCCTCTTTGGTGGGAGAGTTGGCATGATTCCATCCTTGAAAGTCCCAGTCTGTTTCAGATGTCTGTAATTTGCTTTCGTTGCCTCATCGTATGCTTCCTCAGGAAGGTCTACAGTCTTCGTGAAGACGGGTGGTCCATCGGGAAACCATATTCTCTGCCAACTACCATCATTGCCCTTGTAGCACGGCTCGTCATCGAAGTATCTTACGGGCGTGCCCTTCCAACTCGTTATCTTGCCCTGCGAATCCTTTTGGACTTGGACACCGTTCGTTCCTTGTCCGCTTGTGGATTTGACATTTGCGGGGTTTGCTGCTGGACCAGTATATGGTTGTACTGTGTTAGAAGGGCCAAAAGGTTGGCTAGACGAGGGAACAGGTTGATTAGCAGTGGAACTCCTCCTCTGGCCAAAAGGGTTCGGTGCCGCAATTGATGGCTGCTTGAAGATGCCTGTTTTCGAAGGCGCAGTAGGCTGACCTAACGGATTCGGAGGTGCTGTTGAGCTTTGTGAGAACCCATTATTTGCTCCAGATGTCGCCGGCTGACTAAAGGCAGGGGAGGGATTCCGTATCGACGGTCTTCCAAATGCGCTCGGTTGTAACGGAGCTGATGGCTGTCCGAATGTGGAGGGCTGTGTGGGGGCCAATGGCTGACCGAAGGGATTTTTGGCAGCTGCTGATGGCTGCGGAGGGAAATCTGTTCCCGATGGATTTACGAAGGTGTTCGGTTGTAGTTGTGGTGCTCCGAAAGGGCCTGGAGCGGAAGGCTGGCCAAATGTCGTGGCGGGGATTGAGGGACTGCCGAAAGTCAAGGACGGCTGCCCAAAGCTAGTCGTTGGACGGCCGAGTGTTGAAGCTTGGCTCGGCTGACCGAACGTTGGTGCTGATGGGTGACCGAAGGTCGAGGTAGGTGCAGAGGGCTGGCCAAAGGTCGAAGCAGGTGCAGGAGGTTGGCCAAATGGAGTCACTGAAGGTCTGCCGAATGCTGATGGTGCAGCAGGTTGACCAAGAGCCGATGCTGAGCTGGAAGGCTGGCCGAAGGTTGACGTGGTTTGCTGGTTTGGGGCTGATATTTGTGGTTGGGTCGGCGTAGCACCCTTTGCTTTACAGACGTCCAGTCGATTAGGGTGCTCATTTTCTCCATTGATCATGTACTTGACTGCTCCGTCAACGTCGTTGAGGGCAGTCTGAATCTGCTGCTCTGCGTTGTTTACTAGCGCTTGAGCCTCTTGGACAGCTTGTTGTTGGTTGCCTTGAGCAGCCAGTTCGTAATGACGAAGTCGTAGCTCCTCGAAGCTCTGTTCTCGCGGGTGGCCGCCGAACAATTGCAGAGGTGCATCTCTGCCTGGACCGTAAGCCGATAGAATCCATTGAGGCCTCTCTTTCGACAGATCATTGGTTATCGTAGCTTTGTCAAGCTTGTAACTGGAGACGGAGGTTAGCCATGTCGCACAACTGGGGAGACTCGGCTATCTCACGGTAGATCTCGTGTCGTTGAACTTCCTAGATGATAGTGTCTTAGTAACGGGTTCATGACGATTAATGTGAAATGGAAGAAGCAATGTAGATTACGAAGGACTTCGTTGGAAAGAATAAGACTACAGCATTGAGATTTTGCACTCAGTTGTCGGACGAAATCAAAGAAAAGAGGATTATCTTTGGTTCAACTATTGAGGGAAAGTTGACCGGTACTCGTACCTCGAAGAGGATTCGGGCCTCCTTGCGGGCCCGGATTGTTTTGCAGAGGCGCGAACGGATTCCGTGAAGTTGCGTTCGTGCTCCTTCCTGGATGCTCAAACTTGCATTGATCTTGGATTTCAGTCAGATGTCCAGGTGGATGTGTAAGTTTTGGTTCAATGGTTACATGCCTCCAAACCTGCAGTTCCCTTGCACAAAAAACTTGCATACCACCATGTTTATCGTCTCAGTGGAGCCACGACATATTGTCATGCATCATTCACAAAACTTCTGAAGGCTTAGAATACTATCATGAGGATTGAGTGTCATCGACCTGAAAAAGTGTTGAAGATTGGTGGTCGACAATTCTACAAAGACGAAAATATTCCCCCCACCCCACCCCTGCTCAGTCGACGCTCACCTAATGTTGTAGCCGAGCCAGCTCCCCGGAAGGGCCGCTTTTAGGCGATGATCCACCAGCCCTAAGGTATCACCCAGCCTAAGGAGCTAAGGTACCTACATTAGTGCTTGATTGACCACCCTCTCTCGGGCAGGGAGGAAGGGGGGATGAATTGCACCTGAGAGGACGCGATTATCGTAAATTTTGATTTTCTATTATCTTCTGTGACTTGACAACAATAAGCTTGATTACAAGATACCAGTGTTAACATTGGTCTTCTTAGCTAACTTAGAATACAACATACTACATGTCATGCTCCGCCGCAAGCCTCTCATTCAAACCTGCAGCATTGGACCTGTACAAACCACTCATACATCCGTGGCGCGTGTAATGTACATCTGATGTGGAGTGATGCCGTCATTCGAGCTTTCCTGGCCCTGAGGTACCGGTTCAGCCCAGGTTTGTGCCTCAGAAGTGTTGGATAGCGCATAAGATTCTGGGAACGCCGACACATTTTGGGCGCTAGAAACAAGTGGAGACCATGTTCCCTCAGTTACGTTTCCTCTGGGCTTGAACACATATCTCGCGCACTGAAGCTTCGTGTAATGCGACGAATCCTGCGACCTGCCTAGTCTTGGGTTTCGCAGCTTGCTTGCCAACAGGCCTGTCTCGACGCTGTCTAGGAATGGCTTGATAAAAGATGTACACGCGAAGACAATACTGCAGGTCGTGGCAATTACCGTGAACAAAGCCCTATTGAAATAGTCAAATGTTGGGTCTGGCGAGTTGTTCGACGCGAATATGTTTACCAGGCGCAGAATTGTTACCGGGATGACGCTGAGGGACTCAATATTAGTCACTCGTCCCAAACCGTCGTGTTGGTGATAGTGACGGATTGCTTACAGCATTCTGCCGGCGAAAGCTAGAATGGCATTCATTTTCCTTGTGCGAGTCATCTGGACTCGGTGAAGGATGATCGTTGGTAGGACGGTAATCACAATGTCGATGAGCATGTCGAGGGTACTGATGAATCCCCAAAACGCTGGCTAGTCTAGAGTCAATGGCAAGTCTAAGGTCCAAGGTTCTTCAGAGATCTCACCCGATTGAAGCAGAACCCCGAGGTGATTTCCCAAGCGCGAGGCACTCTGCACTGAAACACCACTCCCCAGAAAGCAATTAGGGCCCAAGCGCCATTACTTGCCACTGTCGCTTTAATCCACAGCCTCTTGTACTTATCGTGGGCCAATGTCGCCAGAAATCGCAGTGTAATCATCTTGGCAAGCGCGATGGATAGGACATACAGAATCTCGACAGCATAGCTTGGTTATCTCATTATTGTTGCTGATCAGTATCAACCTCTTGCTAGAACCTCTCAAGAGTTTAGTATTGATATACTATATACCCTTTGAAACTTCTTGTTTTGCTCGGCTGTCAGAGAGTCGATATGCTGACCTAGACCACCCTCGACTTGCTGAATTACCGCGACACATTGCCCTACAGCAAAAACCTTGCAGATATCATCAGGACAGTTATATGCTCGGCCTGGGAAGTTGAGATATTTGCCTTCTCACCAAGGCAAACAATGCGGACCAATCGTCGCCCTGCAAAGCTCTGACAATAATGAATTTAGTGAGAGCCTTGATAAGAGTTGTGAGGATTGACGTTGTCAGAAGAAGATAGGCTGAGAACTCAATTAGCGGTCCCCTGTTGTCCGCTGTGACCAGTGGCCTTTGATAGACCATCCTCGTAGAGCCTCCAATGGATTAGGAATTTCGAGTCATCTGAGGGATTTTGAAGCTTCAATAGCAGCAACGTAAACCGTGCATGCTATCAAGGCTGATTTGTGCAGCACGGAGCAGTATCTCCAAGGGTGTCTCGAGGAAGTAGCACGGGAGCATGACAGGCACGGCGATGTCAGAATCTGTAGAGCTGTCATAGGATCATCGTATTCGTACGGACATTGACATCCAAGGATTGAGGAGGCAAGTAGCATTAGGTACGGATACTGGCTCGGCTCGTGCCTTCCAACAAGGAAGGCCCCTGATGCAGAGCGGGATAACGAGGGCACTAATGACTGGATGTAAGGTAAAGTAGGGCTCGGGGCCATTAGCTTAGATACAAATCTGTGGTCTCTTATACACATCATGCGCGAACGACCTGCCCTCTCCGTTCGCTACCTCTATCATGAGCCAACCGAACAGGTCCGTGGCTTTAGAGGCAACTGTTCTCAATCTTCTCATATAGAAGGATGGACGTCTAGCAAAGTATTTGAGATGCATTGAAAATCCCTCAAACCCTTCAACAAACCGGTAGTCAGTTGCTGGTAAAATGCTTTGAAGCACTGTTCAGGCACGTAGTCGGATCGGGTTCCCCCAGAACGGCATTGAAGTACACAGAGAAGTTCACATGCATCGAAGAGACTGTTTTACGTCTTCAGGTTATTTGGGATCATTACTGAACAGTAGGATTCTGGCCCCATTTGAAGAATTTCGATTGATGGTCCAAGAATTTGCCTGAAGTTGCGAAATGTTGTTGCGTATAGATATGCGGCCGTAAGCAGCGTGTTTACTTTAGGATGCAGGGATCTAAGTAAAGTAAGTATCTTAATCCTTGTCATTCGGGAGCGCTTAATATTACAGAGTACGAGCCGACCCACTCGGGATCTACTTTAGTGCGTTCAGAGTATTCTATCTGCTCACGTTGGGAGACAATGCTCGAGGAAGACCCTTCACTGCATTCTCAACTTGTCCAGCATATAGGAACAAGAAGGCTCCCAAGCATGCAAAAGCTTGCAAAAGTCACTGAGCCTGAAAATGGCTCATCAAGCCGGTGCAGCGAGCTCACTTTGCGAGAATGTTGGTAAACACCAGCCTGAGGGTGTCTGGTTCCCGCTACATAGACACTAACGAGGCAAACGGGACTAGAAGTCATCGCCAATTGTCCGCTGGCGGTCAGGCGATCCGCAGCCATCCATACCGTGATATCCTGTCATGCAGAGGACCGTGTCTTCAGGTGGGTATCAGCGACTATTGGTCACAGCTTGGGAAGCCAGGTGGCACTAGTCAGCTTCTGGAAACCTAGAAGTAGCTTATTCCCTATCAGCTATGCTATGCTTCTGTATGATTGGGGTCGCGTAGGATCGACTGACGTTGCATCCGTGCCCCTTGGAGTATGCCCAACTCCCATGGAGGGGCGTGAGCAAGGTCAGCCGAGTCTCATTCATAGCTATTGCTGAATGCACACCATCACTGGTCGGCGCAAGGTTAGCCTAATTCTGAACGGAGTGTTTCTGAATGGAGTGTGGTCTATGACCGGGTCTTCACAGCGACCTAAATTTTCTTGTTGAGGATATGTTCTGCGCCAAACTTCGTCATTTCACTCGAAATAAGGCACTATGTCTACAGATGAGGGCCACCTGAGGGGCTTCTATGTTCAACAGTATTTGCGGCATGGCGATTCTGACGGGCTTCTTCTATCTCAAACACGAGATGAATCTATGATGGAAAAATGAGGGAAGCGTCAGCAGCTGAAAAGAAAATTCAATCTACTCTCAATCATTGGTTTAACGACGTCGTTGATGATAACCTGGGAAGGACTTGTCAACGCATTTCAGGCCGGACTTGAGAATGGGGGACCAGCTGGCTTGATCTATGGATTCCTCCTCACGTGGGCAGGGGTGATTTCTCAGGCCTTTGTTAGGCCCGAGATGGGAGCCACGATTCCTTTAGCTGGAGGACGATACAACTGGGTCTCGGTTCTTGCCCCCGACGCCTACTCTAAGTATCTTAGTTATCTGACCGGCTGGACAAGCGTAATCGGATGGCAGGCAACTACCTGCACTACGCTTTACCTCGCATCAACCATGATACAGGGACTGCTGATCCAGCACGACTCAAGCTATACGCCGCAACGATGGCGCGGGTTCCTCATCGGCTATGCTATCCTTGCATTCTCGCTGTTCATTAATATATATCTAGCCACACTGCTCCCGAAAATCGAAAGCGCGGTACTGCTGTTGCATGTATTCGGGTTTTTCTTTGTTTCAATTACCTCTGGTCTATTTCGGACCTCACGGTGATCCCTCGACTGTCCTCAAGCAAGAGCGAACTCGCTGGTAACATCAGAGATCCAGAAGATAACTTCCAGCAAGGAGCGTAACCACCAGGACCGACCATCGACAGAAAGAGAGGACGAGCTCCGCAGTCTTTGGGCGGAAATACTGCACACTGCTCCTGAGACTGTCGGCATCCAGCACGACTATTTCAATAGCGGAGGTGATTCTTTGAAGGCGATGGCTTTGGTGAGCGCAGCCCGCCGGAGGGGCATACATTTCTCCGTGGCCAGCTGTATCAACTTCGAAACATTGCGGAGATGACGAAGCATGCTGGAGAGGAGGCGATTGAGGATTCGCAGGTCCCGTCTTTCTCTCTGACTGGCATCGCAGATGTCAGGCAACTTCGGGCAGTTGCAGCTCAACAGTGTGATGTCGATATCGAGCTCGTTCAAGACATGTTACCGATCCTTGACATGCAAGGCTTTTATCTGAACCGTCACCGACACCAACCTTGTAGCTGGCAAGTACCTCTTGCATTTGATCTGCCTCTAGACATTGATATGGGGAGACTTCAGCGAGCATGGGAGGGACTATTAGCGCATCATCCTATCACACGGACGGGGTTCATTGACTCGTCCTTTGGTACGTTCCAGGTCATACTGAAGCATGAAAGTATGCAATGGAGATTTGAGAAAAGTCTCGCTGCGCTTTTGGCAGCGTGGGAAACCGAGGATTTGAGTTTCCGACACAGAACCCACCAAAGCGCCTTGCTGAAAGCAAACGGGCAAACGCCGGGGCGCCTAATGTGGTATGTGAATCATGCTATCGTGGACCAAATCATGAACGAGCATATAGCGCAAGAACTGTCCACCGTGTATGAGGGCCAAGCCGTCTCTCTGCCGAAACGAAGGCCATTCAAAAGCGTTGTAAACCACCGCCGATGTAGCAACAGATTGGGCTCGCAGACATTCTGGCGCTCGCACCTGAGGGGAGCAAAGTATACGACACTGTTCGAAGGCGCCAAATATACCAAAAGCGTGGCATATAGCAAAATGACATGCGAAGCCAGTATCAAAATTCCGGAATGGCTCAAGATATCGGAGTATTCGATACCTGTGACAGCTTGGGCCATAGCTTTCGCACGCTTCGCAGGAGTCGAGGACATTCCTTTTTTCATGATCCGTGCGGGTCGTACGTCGACGCTGCCCGGCAGTGAGGATGTGATGGGACCTTTGCTCACAAGGGCCCCTCTGCGAGTCTCTGTCAAACGAGATGCGCCCATCGTTGACTTAGTCCGCCGCGTCAGCTGTGATACTGAGGAGTCAGAGAACCACGAGCTCGTGCGGGAAGACGATTTTCGAAGCGTCCGCGGAGAAGCCGCTGAACATCTTGCGTCTGGGATTTATATCAACTTTGTGCCGCCTTCCTCGGGGTTGACTCTCAGTTTCGATGCGCTTTTCAATGTCGCAGAGGATTTTAGAGATGGATTAGGATACCAGACTCTGCCATTTGTTCTTAGCGGTGAGTTGCACTATGGAAGCATCAGGATGGATGTGACATGGGACGAAGAAATTATCCCTCGACAAAGCATTCAGGGCTTGTTGAATGACTTCCAAGGAATACTACTGGACTTAGAGCAGGTAAGTCTAGATATGACTGTGGACAACGTATTGTCAGTCTAGCTCTCATTGCTTCAAATGAAAGATGGTCCTACTTCTTTTGATACGCCATCATGACCGACCCCACACTCCGCCTCCTTCCAGCGCGTCCTAGCCGGACCGATCTTGCGATCCATTACATATGCAGGATGAATCAGGAACTTCGTATACCGCCTCTTAGGGTGTTCCAGTCTACTCCGTCAATCTTGTGGCCATTCCACTTCCTCCGATCTCGTGATACGGACTCTGAACGTCCGGTTGCGATTGCTCGCATGATCAAGGTATCATTCGCACCAGCCAAGTTCCTCCCCTTCCCATCCTCCAGGAAATCCGTGAACCAAGACTCTTCTCCCTCGCTCAAAGGTAGGTCGATCAATTCGACGCCTCTTGTTGCTCTGATTGCTCCGTGCGAACTTGCATGGACGAAGTTTATCAGCTTCTCGAAGAGAACGCGGTGGTTCAGATCGCCTTGCGTCCGGGAGAAGTAGAATGCTTCAGTGAGGCTGACGCGACAAAGGGTCAGGCAGTAGGTCTCGAGAACTTTCCCTGATGTGATAGCAGGCGAGACGGTTTGGTAGTAGGCAATGGGAAGAGTAGCATCGGGAGCATGCCGACAAAGAGTGTATAGTATTTCTTCAGGAAATGTAGGGACCAGCGCAGGCTCTGTGAGATAGTCTAAAGCTTTCTGGGTGGAATCTAGTCAGCGGTGTCACCATCAAGAGAGTCATGAGTGACTACCTCAAATTCCAATCGGTCCAGATACCATATACCATCGATGAACGTTCTGTATTTTCCCGGCAGATACGATGAGTTGGCAAAGTCCCTGGGAGACTGATGGCTGTATTTGTGAAGGTCCTTAAGCAGATAGTACAACGCGGAGTGCTTGTGATGGTCAGGAGAAGAGCTGCTGATGATCTGTTCATGAAGAAGTCTGAGGTTCTCGTGGGATTCTGCTGGATAGGATCTTGAAACTAAACGCGTAAAACCATAAGCAAGGCCGACAGCCTTGAACATGACCTGATCCTGATGTAGGACGTACCCTTCTGAACTCCCAAGGCCTTCAAGAGCCGGTCGATGAACAGCTCATTCTCCAAAGAGCGACGTCTCTGTTTGATGTCATCGGCCACTGGCTTCTCATATGCGATGTTAGAATTGTTCCCAAACACGACCTCGAAGTCATCGGAGTCGTCCATGACTTTTAGAAGTGTGTTTACAAGAGCAATTTTTATCGACTTCGAGCTGGTGAAGGTGAAGCAACGTCAGTGTTATCTCCGAAGGTTATAACCGATAAGGCTGACGGGTAAACAAACAAATCGCGACTCTGAAGATTGTGACATCTCATCTACAAAGCTGAAAGCAGAAAACATCAATGCCTACCATATCCCCAACAAGGCCATCGCGGCGGGCGGCCTCGCGCAGCAAAGTGGTTGTTGAAGAGTCGGACGATGAGAATATGGGGGGCATGAGCGGAGAGGAGGACGATGGGGAGGATTTTACGCCAGCACCACTGCGCAGTCCCAAGCGTCAGACAAGACGCAAGACTACAGAAGTGCCTTCAATTCCGCGCACTGCAGCTCGTACTCGGAGAACACGAACCGGTGAAAGCGTTGAGCCTTCAGAGATTTTCGACCCAGAGGAATCAATTAAGCCAGAGCCAGTATCTCCTACGAAGAAAGCATCCCCAAGAAAGCGCAAAAGCACTGCGCCCACTAAAAGAGTCCGCTCATCAGTCGCTGTAGACGCAGTTCCACCAATGCCCACCCCAAAGCCTTCCACATCACCAGAACCATCTCAATTACATGGCACTCCGTTGGCCGACATTACCGATACCCTCAACGAGCAAGCACCAACAGCAAATAATCGGAAAGAGATTCTGGGCGTTAAGGCATTGGATACGATATTGGAGAAGCCAATGGATATCGTCGTAAGATCAAGAGCTTTGGCGGTGCCTCAACAACCAGAGAATGCTGGCCCCAAACCGCGAACAGTCATCCAGTATTTGGTTCTCAAGAACTTCAAGAGTTATGCTGGTAGACAGGAAGTTGGACCTTTCCATGCTTCATTTTCTTCTGTTGTAGGGCCGAACGGATCTGGAAAGTCGAACGTGATTGACTCCTTGCTGTTTGTCTTCGGCTTTCGAGCAAGCAAGATGAGACAAGGCAAGATATCTGCCCTGATCCACAACTCGGCAGCATTTCCCGATCTAGATCACTGTGAAGTCGAAGTGCATTTCCAGGAAGTCATGGATCTTGTACGTTCTGATTCAATTTCTGATCGGACAATGACTAACGTTTCGTAGCCAGATGGAAAGCATGAAGTCCTTGCAGATTCCACCCTGATTATCTCTCGAAGGGCCTTCAAGAATAACTCCAGCAAGTACTACATCAATATGCAGGAGTCCAATTTCACGACAGTAACAACACTTCTGAAGGAGCGAGGCGTTGACCTTGACCACAAAAGGTTTCTCATCCTGCAGGGAGAAGTCGAATCTATTGCGCAGATGAAGCCCAAAGCTGCCAACGAACATGACGACGGCTTGCTTGAATACCTGGAAGATATCATTGGCACCTCAAAATACAAGTCTCCCATCGAAGAGTCTGCGACGGAGGTAGAAACGCTCAACGAAGTCTGTACGGAGAAGAATGCTCGTGTCCAGCACGTTGAAAAGGAGAAGAACAGTCTCGAAGACAAAAAGAACAAGGCTTTGGCTTATATTCGAGATGAAAACGAGCTTGCCTCAAAACAATCTGCCTTGTATCAAGTCTACATTGACGAATGTGGAGACAATCTCAAGGTAACAGACGAAGCCATTGGGCAAATGCAGGGCCAACTCAACGCAGAGCTCGAAAAACATCAGGGCAACGAGGATGGCATCAAGAGCATCGGGAAAGCTTACAAGCATGGCGCCAAGGAGTACGAGGCTTTGCAGAAAGCGACCCAAGCCATCATCAAGGAGATGGCCAAATATGACAAGGAGCACGTGAAGTATGAGGAGAAGAAGAAGTTTTTAACAAATAAACAAACCAAGCTCGAAAAAGCGCTGCAGTCAAACCGACTTTCAGGTTCTGAAGCGAATAGCCTAGCACAGAAGCACTCAGACGATATCGAGCGCAATACGAAAGAAATTGCTGCGTTAGAAAGGAGTATGCGTGAAGAAGAGGAGGAGCTAGCCGCAATTCGAGACGCTCTGAAAGGAAAGACTCAGGCTTTCTCAGACCGAATAGCCGCCAAGCAAAAGTCATTGGAACCGTGGAACGGGAAGATCAATGAAAAGCAATCAGCCATTGCCGTCACCCAGAGCGAGCTCGAGATCTTGCGTGAAAGAGCCTCGGCAGGGGCCGTCGCGCTTGAAGAGGCTCAAGGAAAGATCAATTCCCTCGATGAAAGCCGCAAGACGAAGGAAGGCGAGATCAAGGAATTAAAGGCTCAGAAAGTGCAGATGGAGAAGGAGGCTGGCAAAATCCAAGGCGAGCTTACCAAACTAATGCAAAGGGAACCTGAGATGAGATCACAGCTGTCCGGGGCCCGACAAAAAGCGGACGAAGCCAGAGCCAGTTTGTCAAGCACCCAAAGCCAAGGCAACGTACTCAGTGGCTTGATGCGACTGAAGGAGTCAGGACGAATAGAAGGTTTCCATGGACGACTCGGGAACCTAGGCACGATCGACCAGAAATACGACGTAGCCATATCAACAGCCTGTCCATCGCTGGAGAATCTCGTCGTGGACTCGGTTGAGGTGGGCCAGCAGTGCATTGATTACCTGCGCAAAAATAATCTGGGAAGAGCTAATATCATCTTGCTGGATCGTCTGGCAAAAAGAGATTTGTCCGCAATCGACACGCCCGAAGGTGTACCAAGACTGTTCGATCTTGTGAAGACAAAGAACGAAATATTCCGTCCTGCTTTCTTCAGCGTTCTACAAAATACTCTGGTGGCGAAAGACCTCGAGCAAGCAAACCGTATTGCCTATGGCGCGCGAAGATGGAGGGTGGTTACCTTAGATGGGCAACTGATCGACGTCTCCGGAACGATGAGTGGTGGTGGGACTCGTGTTGCCAGAGGTGGCATGTCATCCAAGCTTGTTGCGGAAACCTCAAAAGAGCAAGTTTCGAAGCTGGAAGTTGACCGTGACCAGCTAGAGCAAGATATCCAGAAGCACCAAGATAAGCAAAGAGAGCTCGAGACTTCTCTGAAACAGCTCAATGATCAGATCCCTCAATTGGAGACGGCAATCCAGAAGACTGGCTTGGAATCCGAGAGCCTAAAACGAAACCTTGCAGACGCTCAGCGCCGAGTAAGTGAACTAACGGCAGCACAGCCAACGAGTAGTTCCGACGATGCTCGTATCAATATTTTGGAGAAGCAGATCTCGAAGCTTGAACAGGATGTCGAGAAGCTACGTGCAGAAACGGCTGGTCTCGAACAAGAGATCCAGGAACTTCAAGACAAGATCATGGAGGTTGGTGGTGTGAGGCTCAGAGGGCAGAAAGCCAAGGTCGATGGCCTGAAAGAGCAGATCGAGATTCTCGCGGAAGAGATGTCCAATGCGGAAGTCGCCAAGTCAAAAGCTGAGAAGCAAAAGATTAAGCACCAAAAGTCATACGAGGATGCTGAGAATGAGCTCGCTGCCGCCGCCGAAGAGCTCGAAGACCTAGTCAATGAGGTCAAGACACAGGACAATGACGCTTCCGCCTCCAAGCGCAAGGCGGAAGAAGCACAAGAGGCGCTAAGCGCGAAGCAGGAGGAGCTGGCTGCTTTGAAGCGGGAGCTGGATGACAAGACTGCTGAACTGAACGAGACTCGCGCTGTCGAGATCGAAATGCGCAACAAGCTCGAAGAGAATCAGAAGGTCCAGTCCGAGAACCAGAAACGACTAAAGTACTGGAACGAGAAGCTCAGCAAACTGAGTATCCAAAGCGTCAGTGACTTCGGAGAAGAACAAGCAGCAGAAGAACTACCTCAGTACACCAAAGATGAGCTCGAGGATATGGACAAGGACACCCTGAAGGGTGAGATCGCAATTCTCGAGGAGAAAACCCAAAACGTCAACGTCGAGCTTGGCGTGCTGGCTGAGTACCGCCGCCGCGTCGAAGAACACACCTCACGCAGCAATGACTTGCAATCTGCCGTGACGCAACGAGATACTGCAAAGAAGCGTTGCGATGACCTTCGCAAGCTCCGTCTCGAGGGTTTCATGACCGGTTTCAGTCTAATTTCTCTGCGGTTGAAGGAAATGTATCAGATGATTACAATGGGCGGAAATGCTGAGTTGGAGCTTGTCGATTCGCTTGACCCTTTCTCCGAAGGTATTCTTTTCAGCGTAATGCCGCCGAAGAAATCGTGGAAGAACATCTCGAACCTTTCGGGTGGTGAAAAAACGCTGAGTAGTCTGGCTCTGGTGTTTGCTCTGCACCACTACAAGCCAACTCCGCTCTATGTGATGGACGAGATTGATGCTGCGTTGGATTTTCGGAATGTCTCTATTGTTGCCAGCTACATCAGGGAGCGAACAAAGAATGCACAATTTATCGTCATCTCTTTGAGGAATAACATGTTTGAGTTGGCTTCTCGGCTGGTGGGCGTGTACAAAGTCAACCATATGGTAAGTCCATCTCTAGTGATGGAATAAGACAGCTACTAACATTCAACAGACTAAGAGCGTAACAGTGGAAAACAGAGACTACATTACCGGCAGAGCTTAGGCACATGTCCTTGTTGTCTGAACTGGCGTTGGCGGTAATGTTTGGCCTTACTCCCAGATACGTAATGAAGTGAATGGGGTTTGGGGCTTCGGCCTGCTGCGAGGATCAAGCAGCGGCGTCTGGCGTGGAAGAGTATGCATTGTGTACATAATCTATATCTCGAAACAATGTCAATGACTTCTCCCTACCGAGCATCAACTTTGCCAATCTTCGTTCCATAAAGCTCAAGCTGCCAAAGTTTGTACTATACCCCCTACATCCCCGTGTCTTCTCAAGGACGTATTCAAAGTACTTCTGCACTCCTGGCTTGTGAGCTTTTGTTCTCGTGCGGGCCACCCTTCGCTTCTGTGCTGGATGCTCGCTTGTTGGCTAGTAGTAGACCGTCTAGATCGCCCTCTTGCTTCTCAACCCTTCTTTTCCTCTTTCACCTTCGTCTCCTCCTTCACTTTCTGTCCCTCGCCCGGACCCACACCTTTCTTCTTGGCCTTCCCCTTCTTCCTCCCACTCCGATCCCTCTTCTTCAGTCCGCTCATCCCCGCTTTCCAGACCTCCGCATACTTTACGAAGAACCCTTCCAGTTCATCTGCTTGCACCACGGTACTGATTTTGATTTTGTCCTTCTTCTTCTCCTTCGACTTGCCGTTCGTTGCTCGTATCAGGACTGGAAGAGGATGCGGGGGGTGCAGGTCCGGGAAGGGCGACGAGGGTGGGAGGGGGATGTCTGTTGCGCCAGATGGGAGATCCGGAGGTGACACTGGGACATCACATCAGCGGATTTCAGAAAAGGAGATCGAGAGCGAAATTGAAATCATACGGCGTTTTTGGGTGAGGAAGACGGAGCCGTGGGCGGCGACACGGGGGGATTCGAAGAGGGAGTTAAGGCGGGTTAGGAACTGGACTATTAGCAATGCATTGACACAATTAGGTGGAGTTGCAGGTACCTCGTCGATGCTGAGATGTCCAGAAGCCATGTTTGCGCAAAGCAGTATCTCGTGATTTGCCGATTGTGGGGTAAAGTGCGACGGGCATATGTGCACACCCTAATAATACCCGACCTTATACCTGATATCTTACACTAGCGGTAAGATTCAGAATCTTCCACTCGAAACTTGACCGGCAGACTGCTTGCTTTCGCCTCTGGTGCATGTGTACTAGCCGCAGAAATGGGAAAACACGGCGTCATATGTGCCTGCTGCTCAAGAAGACCGACATCGATTCATTGCATAAATCGAGCCACGCCATGCTCTGATGGATATCTATCATTTTAGAAGACGGGCTTACCAGGCTCTGACACTAAGTTTCCCTTAAGCTTCCTTGTTCTTATACGATCCTGTTCAAGCGTGATTGCCTCTTGTTCCAAGATGTTGTCCGGAGTCGTTGTTTCTACTTTTAAGGACTTTTGTCAGTGTATCCGCTTGATGGGAAGGATCTACTATGTAAAAGAAGGAGAAACATGTGCGTGCTATTCTCCACTTCCTTCTGCCAAACACCACACTCTCTTTGCACGAAATCAAGTCTACACGTGGTAGCACAGTCTCTTGCCTCCCTTTTCGTTCAGCATCTGCCTTTCGCCATGAGTCTCCTTATGTCGCTCGCTCTAGCCTTCCTTGCTATGGCTTCGCAAGTGACTGGGCAATCAACGGTCACGCCACAACCCTATTGTCATCCTGTAGCTGGGAATTTCAGCAACAACGCAGACTACTGGCTGCATGCAACGCCGGTGTTACGAGCTCACTGGTGCTTCGACTACGCCCCACTTGTCCGTCGACAATATACGGATTACTGGACCGGCTGGAAGAACATCAGCTTTCTATTTGCATTGTACCTCCCACCCCAAGAAGCCTGATCAATTTAACCTAACGCCATAACAGCGGTGACTCCTACACGAGCACAAGTTTCAACATCGCAGGGAAACAACCCAGTCTCAGCAACCCATTGGGCAATCCTTCATATCCTGGCTCTACCTCCGCCGATGGTCCCAACTACATTGACTTCTTGACAACCACTTATAATGAGAGCTACATCCAGGCTTACAATCTAGGCTACGGTGGAGCCACGATCGACGACTCGATCGTCATGTCAGGCTTTGGAACTTCAGTGCATAGCTTTCAAGACCAGGTTGAAAACGGATTTCTGCACACATACGTCAACAACAGCAAAGTCCCATGGACCGCTTCTAATAGCTTGTTCACCATATTCTTCGGTGTCAACGACGTGACGAACTCTTTCGCTCCCTTTGCGTCACACAACGACTCTGTGAACTACGAGCTCGTCAAGGCATATGAGAGCCTCGTCGACGAGGTTGGTCTCCGTTCTTTCTATCAAGATAGTAAACTAACATTAACATCAGCTGTATGCTGCCGGAGCGCGCAATTTCCTTTTCATGAACGTCCCTCCCGTCGATCGTTCACCGGGAACGCTCGAGATGGGCTCTATTGATCAATCTGCCGAGGCCAGCTTCATCGGAGCGTTCAATTTTCGACTTGGTGCCCTTGTTTACAACCTAGCTCTACGCCATGCGGACACGACGTTGTTCACATTCGACACGAATTTCCTCTTCACTAGAGTTTTGGACGACCCGTCGCAATTTGGAGAGACGGCCGGATACTTGAATACAACGAATTACTGCGCGGCTTACGAGAAGTAAGCCCCCTTCTGGCAGACCTGAGGAACCTACTTTTAAGCTGACTAGCTCTCCAGTGGCACGTCATCCTTGACGTCCTTGGATCCATCATGCGGTATACCTGTCGATCAGTACTTTTGGCTGAATAGTCTCCACCCAACCTATCCAATGCATAATTTCATGGGCTCTCAGATTGCGAAGATCCTTTCAGGTTGAGATTTGTACTTCATTTTGTACTTCATTCAGGTCAAGATACCTAATTCTAGAAATTGAATAGAATATCGGCATGCTTCTGAAGGAGTTCGCTAGCAGCAGGGACTGAACATTTTGGCATCTTTGAGTGGAATGGATTACATGGTATAGTTCAAAGGAGGGATGGTACGAGAACATTATCAAAGCTTGCATGCCCATTAGCAATCAATGTAGTTTGGCAACAATATGCTCTTAGTGACTGTAAAATTTCCGCACTAGCTACTTGTAACGGTCAGTCCACGCGAGCAAGCGGAACAACCAACTTCATTCATTCAATCTGCATTGGCTCTCACGACAACTATTCCAACTCTCAATGTCAAACTTCGACCCCAATGCTATCCTACGCGGTGCTCAGTTGACTGTAGTTGGGGGTTCGCAACCCAACAACCCCAAAGCAGCGCTGAAAGCTGAAAAAGATACCAGCATACCGCGCTCTACAAAACCCTGGCCTCTTCAAATATGAGCACTACAGACAGGCAGCAATTGCTGTCTGTGCGGGTATCGCCATCAGAATTCTTGTTGCAGTTCCTGTGGGTTGTCTACGCTCCCAGAATTGAAAGTGGTGCTAATTGGCGACTGCTCCTGCAGATAATCACGGTCAAGGTATCACTATGGGCCCTCGGCTTCTTCATCAACTTCGATAGCGTGACATGGGATGACAAACTGGTGGGTGGGATGGATTTCCTGGCGAATTCCGTCCTGCAGGTCCCGTTCTTCCTCATGAGCTTGATGCGGTATATCACACCGACTTTGGACCGCATGTGAGGACCCTACATTCTAGCTGCTCCCGCTGGCCCAGCACTGATCAGCGCAGGTTCATGGACTCGTTGCAATGGGTCGACCAGACATACTACGCAAAGCACAAGTCAGAGGATCCGAAGACGCTCCGCGCGACATACTTTGCAGAACTGCGGATGTATTCAGCACATGGCGATACGAGCAAGCACAGAGCTCCAATGGACGCGGCTTTGGCTTTTCTCATTCGGTTCGGCCGAAGAGCTGGCATATCACTAGCTATTTATGCGCTGTCATATCTGCCCATCGTTGGACGATTTGTTCTTCCAGCGGCCAGCTTCTATACCTTCAACAATGCCGTGGGGCCCATTCCAGCTACTATCATATTCGGCAGCGGCATCTTCCTGCCTAGAAGATATCTCATCGTGTTCTTGCAGAGCTACTTCTCGTCAAGAAGTTTGATGAGAGAATTGGTGCGTCCTCAAATACCAACAGCCTTTACATTCCGCTGCAGGCTAGTTGGTTGACTTTTTTACAGCTCGAACCCTACTTTTCCCGAATTCGGTTCACGAAGGAGCAAAAGAAGCATTGGTTCCACGACCGCGAGGGCGTGCTATTCGGATTCGGTGTTGGCTTCTACATCTTCCTCAAGATACCGCTCCTAGGTGTCTTGATCTACGGCATTGCAGAAGCATCGACAGCATATCTGATCACGAAGATCACGGACCCTCCACCATCTCCGGCGTATAGCGACAAATTCGCTGAAAGCCAGGTCAAGTGGAAGAATAAGCAGAAATTTCTGGAGCTTCCGTTGCACAATCTGGATGCGAACAACGCTGATACGGTAGGGAAGGAACCGATCGAGGCCTTTGATTCTCCTGGCAAGAAATTTTCCTAGAATTTGGGGGGAAGTACAGTTAGGGAACCTAGTACAACGATTCAGACAGCTCATTCCGGATTCAAGTGAGATCCGCGACTGCATTTGAATTTTCACCAACGCAAAGTGCCCCCCCATGCGTACTTTCAGCACATTTTCATGCCTCATTTGCCCCTTTACCGATAATTCACAATTTGCATTTATTGTGTTGTCTTTTCGTTAGTCAATTGCATCGCGATCTCTTTAGGAAGCTCGGAGGCGTCCACGTACGCCTTAAATTGCATTAGTCGAGCTTCTACCGATAAGCGGCATATGTTTCTTATCAGCAATCGGAAAATGCACGTCTTCATTACATGTATCTTGCAGATCGAAAGCCTGGAGCTTGGCCCAGATATGCTTAATTCGCGGGGTCAAGCTCTAGTCAATTGACTTCCATTGCCCCGCCATCATGGCCCCACGGCCCATACTCGCAGCAGCTTGACACACGGTACTTGCTTTCTCTCTCCTCCCTTTCCTAATAGTCCGACTTCCAGTTGACAGTCACATTGACAAGTCTCAGCCTCAGTCTCAGTCTCATTTTAAAACCTCGAACGGACTTTCCTCACATCGAAGTTGTCTTTCTAGCGACATGGGTCTCACGGAGATACGGACCGCCGTCAAGGTCGATTTGAAGAAGCCAGCGGATCAGCAGCCCGTACTTCATGTACGTCGAGCTGTTCCATCATCTATCACGCCTGCGCTGACCTTCCTCAGAATAGATGGCATCCAGACGGCACGACCTCCCTTCCACAATCCATCCTGAATGCCTTTGACCTCTTCTACAGTTCCCTTCACGGCCAAAGTTAAAGATGGGGAGGTCTTCAAGGTGGAGTGTGTCGATTGGACAGGAGGACAGATTGGCAACAATGACAGCGCGGACGATGTGAAGAACATCGACCTCACCAAGATCCACTACTTGTCTGGCCCGTTCGAGGTGGAAGGTGCCGAACCTGGAGATGTCCTCGTGGTGGAGATCCAAGATGTGCAGCCATTTCAAGAACAGCCTTGGGGTTTTACGGGCGTATTTGACAAGGACAACGGGGGAGGCTTCCTTGACGAGCTTTACCCTAACGCGCAGGTCTCCCTGATCAAGATCTATTCCTTCGCAACTAGCTACTGACATCTTGTTGTTTATCAGCGCCAAAGCCATCTGGGACTTCGAAGGCATCTTCTGCTCCTCTCGCCATATCCCGCATCTCCGATTCCCTGGTCAGATCCACCCGGGCATCCTCGGCTGTGCTCCCTCCGCCGAGATCCTCGCGGAGTGGAACCGCCGCGAAGCCCACCTTATCAGCACTACCGAGCTCAAACGCATCGTCGCGCAACCCCCTCAACCCCAGAACGTCCACGCGGGCTCCGCATCCGGCGAGGTTAAAGAAAAAGTAGGCAAAGAGGGCGCGAGGACTATACCCGGCCGCCCCGAGCATGGTGGCAACTGCGATATCAAGAACCTGGGCCGCGGCAGCAAAGTCTTCCTCCCGATCCACGTCCCCGGGGCCAAATTCAGTGTTGGCGATCTACACTTCAGCCAAGGCGACGGCGAAATTTCTTTCTGCGGCGCGATTGAGATGGCAGGGGTCATCACGCTGAAACTGTCCGTGATGAAGAGCGGCATGAAGGATCTGGACATGAAGAGCCCTCTTTTCCTGCCGGGACCCGTGGAGCCCCATTACGGACCGAGCAAGTATCTAACCTTTGAGGGATTCAGCGTCGACGATAAGGGAGTGCAGCACTACATGGACGCCACCGTCGCGTACCGGCAGGCGACCCTGAGGTGCATCGAGTACCTGAGACGATACGGTGAGTCCACGCACGCGGCGTATGGCGTGATGTGTTCGGTCCGACTGACTTTTGGTAGGCTACTCCGACTACCAGGTCTACCTCATGTTGAGCTGCGCGCCGATTCAGGGACACGTGGCCGGCTTGGTGGATATCCCGAACGCGTGCATGACGCTAGGGGTGCCGATGGATATCTTCGATTTCGACATCTCGCCTACGGGCCCTGTGGAGAAGATGGAGATGGGGGCTTGTGCCGTTGCGAACAAGTGAAGATGGGTTGGGCGATCGTTGTAGAGCGGTGCAGTAAGGAAAGAGGAACGGGTGCCGATGTATGGTAGATTGATTGGGATTGGGATTGGGCCTTGTTTACGAATGCGGGGATGGGCTTGGAGCGATTCTGTAGGCGCGAGGTTTATGGGTGCTTTACCTCAAAACACACAACCATTTGGCTTTTCCAACGCTTCGCTTTGAGAAACATCTTGGGCAAGCAGCCCTTGTTCCGTCCCCGACGACAATTGCTATCCCATCAATCCACCCCTTGCCATCTTCCTCGCGCGCTGATCCCGCCGGTTGTGATTAGCTCGCGACCCTTTGTTCGCATCCTTCCTCTGTCTCGCCGCCTGCGTATCTTGATCATCCGACGGTCCCGCCACGCTCGCACCCCCACGGCCCCTTCCCCTCCCCCCCCTCCCACCTCGGGCACCGCCGCCCCCGTCGCCATCCCCCGTCCCGTCAGCCGTCCAAGACGATCGTCCCAACTGCGTTCGCCCGGCCCCACCTCCGCCCATCTCGTACTTCCGCTCCAACCTCTGGAGCCTCCTCGGATCCCTGCCGGCCATGATCCCCCACCCCTCGATCGCTTCGTCCGTCATGCCCGTCTCGCTCTTCAGCGCGGCCCGGTGCTCCCCCCTCCGCGCGTCGGCGCCGCGACGGAAGGCCTCGGGCCCCGTCCGGTAGGCGTGGAACAGCGCCTCCTCGTGCGCCTCCTCCCGACGCCCGCCGGCGTCGTCGTCGTCGTCGGCGGTGGTGGCGTCGACGGTGCCGCCGACGTCGCCGACGTCGTACGTGTCGTCGCGCTCGTCGTCGTCGGAGTCGAAGGCGGCGAGCGCGGCGAGGATGGCGGCTTTTTGGCCCGAGGGGCGCGGGGCGGAGAGGAGGCGGTCGGCCGTCAGGTCGGCGTTTCGGCGCCCCAGGGCGAGTCGGGAGGCGTCGATGGCGAGGCGGTCGAAGGAGTCGTCGTCGTGGATGTTGCGTCGGATCGGGGGGGGCGGCGGGGTCGGGTGGGGTTCGAGGCCCGGTGCGAGGTCGTGGGGTCGGGGAGGAGTCCCCTCGGGGAGGGTTTCGGTTCGGTCTCGTGCGTTCAGATGCTGCGGTAGAGTGTCGTCGAGGAGGTGAGCGGTGGCTTGTTCAGTGTCGTCGTCGTATTCGTCGAGGAGCTTGACGACGAATGCCGAACCCAGATCGGGGAAGAGATCCTGGACTTGAGCCACGAGGCTCAATTTGTGGACATGGATCCCGCCCGTTGAGTCGTGGCCGTACCGGTCGCGATCTTTCCGTTTGCCTTTGTCGTTCTTCCTCCTGACGGGCTTCTTGGGCCGGCCGTCAGGCGACTTCTCGAAAGCTTTCAGTGATTCGATGAGGGATTTCGCCCTCGTAGCCTCTGGGCCTGCGATCCGAGTCCGGATTTTCTGCAGGAGGGGCGTAGATCCAACCACTGCTTTGAGCAGGGAGTCGTCGCTTGATGTGGCCTTCAGACCGTACATGTGATCCAGTAGGGTAGATGTTCGAGGTTGGCCGGGCTCCATGAGGCTCAAAAGACAGAAGTATGTTACGACTACGATCTTGTGTTTTGCAATCTTGGCTTTTGAGGTCTGGTACGCGGTCGAAAGGGCATCGATGAGATCAGCCCCGAGCATCAAGAATTGACCGTAGTGGTAGCACGTTCTCAATAAAGCGACCACTAAGGCTAGAAGCTCCTCCGAGTCGCCGCTCGTAAGGATCTGTTCCAGTTCTAGGATCAAATTGGCTTTATGGGTCCGCATGGAAGGCCGCTCGTCCAAGGCTTCTTGCCTCCATACGTCGACAAGCAACTTGGGCAAGACCGTGCTCTTCGCGTAGACGCGGCTCAGATCTGCGAGAAATGCCCACTCCAACAAGAATTGAGAGGTAGGCTTCATTTCACTCAGCACTCGGTGAATGAGCAGGAAGGATTTTCTTCTTAAGTCATTCTCCTTCGCATTTGTTGCTTCGGAGGAGTTTTTGGCATAGGAAATGAGAAATTGGACGAGAGAAGAATTCTTTGTGACTTTGAGGCTGAACACTTTGGCGGACATAAGAAGATGATTCTGAGCCAAAAGAAGCCACGAATCCAGACATATCTGCCACTCTTCTGGCATGATGCTCTTCCGCAGGCTTGCAGGTGGAAAAGATAGCCATGGTATATCCATATCGACGGACCGCTCGTTCAGATGAGCTGGAAGGAGTGCAATAATATTGAACCGTCCTTGGCACACAAGTTTACTTGGTCTAGAGAACACAGAGCGGTGAAATGTTTGATATACTGTTGAGATGTCTGCAAAAGTTGTGACGGTGATTCAAAGAACGCCTCGTAGGGCTGCATCGTATTCGCGAGAAAAGCTGTCCCACTGGTTCCAAATGGATTAGTCAGCCGAATGATTTAGCATATGTACATGACTTTCATTAACACACCCGTTAAAAGATATAAGAAAAGTTTACGAACTACTACTTAGAGAAATAGCTATTTTATTTAAATCTAATTTATAAAATTCATATAATTACGAATATATTTATTCTTTTAAATTACTACGAGTAAAGGCCTATGAATTAAATTCATAATCATTTCTTTAATTAGGGCTATCGAGTAAGTAGGTGAGCGATCTTTAGTGAGCGAACTTTGGTGAGCGGGCTGTCCGGCTGTCGAGCGAACTTTGGTGAGCGATATTTGAATTCCTTACGCTTTAATTAATTATAAGACTGAATCTCAAAATTCTTAAAAATTCGGAAAGCGCAAACAGCGCTTCAAAAATAAAAATAAAAATCTCAAAATTTTAATAGAAAACAAAAAAGTAATTCTATGTGTCAATAATATACACCTATTTTTTTGATGAGGGAGGCGTGGGAGGGCGAGATTTTGATGGTTGCGGACGCTAATTTATTTACCCGCGATGAGTCAGCCGATCTAGCCAAAAAGCGTAGAGGACCCGAATTGATGATTGGCTGCACATACAAATTCAAGGTTTTCTAGTTCAGCTCTATCTTATTCTTTTATATATACTGATAAGATTAAGTTTATAAATTAAATTTATAGAAGTAATTAATCTTTAAATCTAATTTCGAGATTAGATTTAACTCTTAAAGAGTAGTAATACTTTAATTTAAGATTTATTAAGAATTATAAGATCGAATTCTAAAAAAAATTAAGTTATTAAAAAGCGTAAGTTAAGCTCTATAATTTTTTAAAAAAATTATAAAATAATAGAAAAAATTAAAAAGTTATATAGATTTTTTTTTAAGTATATCGAATTAAAGAAATTAATTAATATTCAATTAATAAGAAGTTAATCTTTATAAGAATTATAGTTTTTTTATATTTTTTATATTTTTTTATAATTCTATTAATTCTATAATTTTTTATAATTTTACGATTTTATAATTTTACGACTTTTTATCGATTTATAATTTCTTAATAAGAGAGATTATTAGATTCGAATCGAGAATAGAGTAAAAGAATTTCGAATTTTATTAAAATTTCTATTACTTTATTATTTATATTTATATTAAAAGAATATTTATAATAAAAGAAATAAGTTTTTAATAAGTAATATATAAACTTCTTTTCTTTAAAGAAATAATTATATAATATTAAATCTTATAGATTCTATATTATTAGATAATATAAATTAATTTCTATAATTAATTTTTAATCATTTTTATACTTTTAATAATTTAAATTTAAAATTTAAAATTAAAAGCGAAGATATAAGTTAAATAGTTATTTACGTATTTTACGTAAAAATCTATAATATACGACTCTTTCGATTTATCGATATATATTATCTAGATTTCTTATTAATCATCTCACTTTTTAAATTACTTATTTATATTTTTAATTTTTAATTTCTAAGATTCTTAAATTATATCTCTTAAACGTACTTTTTACTAGTATATATAAGAAACTATTATAGTTTATTCAGGTCTAATTTAAAATGAGATGTTTATCAAACATATAGCGATGTATCAAATGTTTCTACGTTTTCACTTTCTATAATAGACCTTATGTAATCTTCCTCGTCGTCATCATAAAGACCGCGACTTCTCCGAACTTACTTGCTCTATCTCCCGGCCATTTCTCGCAACCTACATACACCTCGCCAACCACGCATATCCCCTCCTCACACTCGGCTCAAAATCCACCCCAATCTCAGGAAATGTGTCAAAGAGATGCCTCCCCCCCTCTACGACTTCAATCTCCGCCTCTACACCCCTGGCTCTGAGCGCTTCGACGGTGCGCATGCTCTGCTGCCACGGAATCAAATCATCAAGTCTTCCATGGATCAGGAAGGTAGGGGTACGATAGGCACCGGTGAGGATCTGGGCGTAGGGTGAGATGGAGATGATTTGAGATTGAGTTGGGGGGGTAGTATCGGCGGAGGGACCGTTGAGGAGGAAGGGGATGGTTTGCGCGCGCCAGTTCATGTGCAGGACGAAGCGCCAGCGGGGGTCCGCGAGCGACATGAGCCATCCTGGGTGATTACTTCTGGTGGGCGGGTAATAGCTTACGATCTGGAGTGAAGAGGCGTTAGTAGAAAACAGGGTTGAGAGGTAACTGGATAAGCTTGGAATGTCGTGGAATAAATTAGGTATGAGAGAGGAGGGACGCTTACCGGCTCCTTCTGAATGCCTTCGAGGAGGTCGTAGGGCTCGTTGATAGAAGAGACGGCGGCTTCGGGGTAGATGGGAGATTTCCACCCTATTCGAAATGTAAGTATTCTTACTGTTGGAAGAAAGACAAGATGAAGAAAGGAGTATAAACGAGCGCTTACAGTCATCCTCGTAATCTGTAGGACAATAGAGTGCCAATATGGCTTCTGGGCCTCTAAAGCCTCGTTGTGGTGCGGTGAACGCTAGCGTCATGGCCAGGTGTCCGCCCGTGGACCAACCCACCGCTACGACCTTGTCGCCATCCGCTTGGAGGTCCGGCGCAATCTTCGCGGCCAAAGACGGTAGCTCAAAGCGCGCCCAGCGCAGAGCTTCACAGACATCATTCATTGGACCGTCAAGGATATTGAGCTCAGGACAGAAGCGGTAGTCGAAGCTGACGGGGAGGAAACCGTCGGCGATGAGAAGTTTTATCTGTTTAAGGTCGACTTCCTTACGCGTGAACAACACGTGGCCACCACCGTGGATGAGTAGCGCTTAGAACAGATCAGCCTGGAATTTGTGTAGATTTGGGGAGATTCATATACCAATGGGTCTTTTCTCGCCGGGTTTGATGTTGGATGGGACGTAGACATCAGCGTATAAATTTGTCTTCTCAGCCTGCTTGTACACCACAGTCTGAGCCTCCGGCCTTCGTGACGGCTTTTTGGGCTTGAATGACTCATTTACAGGCTCAGCTAGAAATCCAGTGATGATACGGAGAGTTCGGGCTTCCTCAGAGCGGCCATCGGTCCATGTAACGTGTTTGAAGCCGGCAGCTCGCATGCTACGGTCCCAAAAATTCTCGCTGGCCAAGACGTGTTTTCGACCGTCCTCGTAGAGCCACCAGCCTTCTAGCAGACCAAATACAAGATCGAACCAGAACAGATTTCTGGTGAATTCCACTAACGAGACAAAGCCATCGGGCCGGAGCATCTGGCGGATGTTCGTGGTCGAAGCTTGCAAATTCCGGGTGGCATGGATGCAGTTGGTCGATATTATCGTGTGGAACTTATTGAGGAACTTTCCTGGAGGAGTCTGTTCAATGTCAAGGATCATGAAAGTCATGAAGGTTCGGCCGGCAAATTTCTTCTTCGCAGCTGTGACCAGAGAGCCAGACAGATCGGTGAATGTGTAGGTAAAAGAAATTCCTTGCCTCACAAGGAAGTCGACAATGTAACTAGTTGTACCACCGGTGCCGCCACCAAGCTCCAAAATGTGAAAGGTACCACCTTCACCGTTGGTGCCATAGGCTTTCTGCAGGAAGCAAGCCAACAGCTTGGTGATCGCTTCGTACATCGGTCCGTAAGTGTAGACGTCTTCTAGTAGCTGTTTGTTTTCTTTGCTTCGGAACAGAAGTTGAAGGGGATCAGCAGCGCCTGTGAGACATTCGGCGAGCTTGGAGCCTGTAACATCGAGGAGTTTATGCTCAGAAGCATGGTGAGGAAACGCTTGGAGTAGTTCCTGAAGTATGGTTCTAGAAGACGTGTGATCGACAGGTGTCTTAGATCGAACCAAACTGACACCATCGGGCTTTACTAGCGACGAGTCTTTCAAAATCTCATACAATTGATCCATGAGGAGTTTATGCTTGGGCATGAAATGAATCAGCGGCAATCTCTCGCCAGCATTCAACGAGGCAATCCGGCACCCAAGCGTTGCAAATGCCTCCACGGTGTAGGCAAGGACAAGGCGTGCCTGCGTGGGGTATACGATTTTCCAGAAGTCGGCAAATCCCGTTTGTTTTGTGAAAACATCATAATCAAATCTAGTGCCCTCAAAAGCTTGCTGAGCATGACTTAGAGAAGCGGGTCTTTCGGTTAATGGAGCGAGTGAAATGGTTGCGGAGAGATCTTTTAGCATAGTAGGCGCAGGGGTAGCCGATGTAGTCTTGGCCTTCACATGGTTCATAGATGGTTGAATCTGTGAGGACACCATGTCCAGTAAGTCACCAAACGTTGAATCGCTGTCAAGTAGACCCATATCAATGGTAGCACCAAAGTTCTCCCTGATATCATTGGCCAGCTCTATGCTAAGCAACGAATCTAAGCCTTCATTGGCAAGATTCGTCTCTCGCGTCATGGACGTGCTTGTCTCTAGATGGCCCACAAGAAGCTCAGCGAGCTCAGATTCAACGTCGTTTTGCAGACTGGTCACATCTTCGGTAGAGCTGGCAGCAGTTATCGCGGATGTCACGCTGAAGTGATCTTCGCCGCTCTCGGACGAGGAGTCTGATGTCAAAGCTGTTCGGTGGCCGCCACACCCTCTGGCAAGAAGATAGTTTCGCAATGACTTGATGTCCAGTAAAGTCGCGAACTCCGCAGCTGAGATCACGACTTCGAAAAATTTGCAGATCTCGCTCATTACCTCGGTAATCATCAAAGAGTCGATGCCGAGCTCCTCTAGGGTCGAGTCGTCCTGAAAATCTTCCATAGGAACATCCGTAACTCGATGCAAAAGCTTTCGGATATCTGTGTCGATCGTTGATGTGTCATCATCTCGAGAGCTGGGGTCTACATTGGCCTCAATCTTGGAGTCGGCCGTCAGGAGGACTGGACCCTTGTTCGGAAGAGACTGACTGGGAATGGTCGATTTTGAATCAACTGGGATGTCGACAGTGCCGTTTCCTATACGAGGCCGAGCTGTGTTGGCCCTGGACAGCACCTTGGTCAAGGAACTGACGAGGACTTTCATGAAATGTGCACCCAGCACCATCAAGACCAGGCACTTAGACTTCTTTCCAAAGACAAAAATATCATTGACAATCTCCCTTTCTCCTATCGATGTGAAATTTGAGTAGACCACCCAAGAATCGGATTCTCTGAACCTCAGACTCGACTGAATGCGTTCGATTTTTGTGCAGACAAAGACCTCAGTGTCCTTACATTTATTGAGGCAATTGACGTGTAGACCAGCCACCTGAACGAAATTGTCAATAGCCAATGGCTTTGTGACGCAGTTTCGGAGAGCATTTGAGCCGCAATCAGGAAGGACGACGATGCCTACGACCTGTTGGCCTCTTCCATAGACGCTTCTGACGCCTTTGTAATGATCAGCATATTCAACGACCCTGGAGAATGCCTTGTAGACCGTAGACCCTTGCATGATGTCCGATTCAGGATCATTCTTGAGATTATCAAACTTTTGAAATCCTATGAGTCTTTCATAACGGGAGAAGTCCGTGAGTAACCTTGGATTCTCTAGGTGAAGAGTGACTCTACCCGTGGCATGTGTAGCGGAATTGCCTTTCGCATCACCTTGTGACTTACTTGCCATTTCAAATGTCCACGCGGGTATTTTTCCTTCGGCCCTTTTGAGATCAATGGTTATAGCCCGATCCGTGTTCATGCCAAGGGGCGTATTTATCTCCAGATCTTCGACGCAAGGAAGATAGTCAGAGATACCTGAATCTTTCATCAAGATCATAGCGGCTCGAGAAACAAGCTCTACGTATAGAGGTGCAGGACACAGCGGCTCACCAAGTACTGCATGGCCTTGCACGTAGAACTCATAGTCTGTGCTGCTGGGATCCACAGAAAATTCGGCATCACGTTGGGTTTGATCTCGGAATCTGGTCAAAGAAAGCAGAATGTGTTCTTTTTCGGCCAAGGGTTTACTGAGTTGCACTGGGGTAGGGACCTGGGCAGTGTCTATCCATGATAGCCAGTGCCGCGACTTCTCGAATTGGTAAGGAGGTAGATTGATCGCACAGTACTCTTGTTTTTGGGAGCGATGATATGGCCAGAACTGAACCTTGTGACCAGATCTCCAAAGATTGACAGTAGCTTCGGCAAGAGATCCGATAGCATCAGCAGCGCCCAGTTGGACAGGTTGGAAGGTATGTGAGGGAGCGGTAGCCTGATCCAAAGCTCGACGGACCATAGACGTTACTGATGAACTCGATCCAGCTTCTAGCCAAGTAGATGGACCGAGTGACTGCGCAAGTCGCTCGACCGCTCGTCCAAAGTATACTGGCATACGGGTATGATCTGTTATATGTCGAGGACCTATCTCATCGCAGCTTCTGTTTTCCGTACACGTCTGCAACGCCACTGCAGGTTTGTTGTATGTAAGATCTTCTGCTAAGCTATGCAGTCTGGAGAGACAAGGCTCGGTAAAGACAGAGTGGAACCCATGGGTGACGTTGAGCCGTTTATGTTGGATGGAAGCTCTGCAGAGTTCCTTCTCGAGACTGTCAATAGCAGATCTAGTTCCGACAAGAACATGACTCGTTGATCCGTTGTAACAGGCAATTTCGATATTCTGATTGGCGTTAGATGTGTTGGCTGAAGCTATGTAGTCTAGCACCGAATTCAAATCCGCTTCAATCGAGATCATTGAGCCACGCTCTGGGCCCCAGTGCTTCTGCATCAGAGAAGCCCGGCCAGACACCAGCTTCAGGCCATCTCCTAAAGAAAGGATACCGGAAACACAAAGAGCTGTCAACTGGCCGAAGCTATGACCAACAACTGCATCGATGTGTAGTCCGGATTCTATCCAAGATTTCGCGCATGAGTACTGCAGTGAGAAGAGTTGGCAATGAAGTCTGACAATGTCCTCAACGGGACTCGTTTGAAAGATCTCGGGATAAAGTCCATCTAAGCCCATGGAGCGAAGCGTAACGTCGCAATTGTCAAGGTGCAAGCGTAGAAGCTTCGAAACATCGTACACTCCCTTACTCAGGCCAACAACATTATTCTTCTGACCCCCGAAACAGAGGACTACGGGTTTTGCTTTTGCGTTGACCTTGGGTTGAAGGTCGCCCGATCTCACTGCAGCAATTTTACTGTTGAGCTCGGTTAGATCTGATACTGTAGTCGAGATGACATGTGAGAGAGAGCGATTTTGTTTATCGGCCAGGTTGAATGCCAACGATGACAACCAATCTTTAGTAGCTGCTGATGAAGGAATCAGTTTCTGGAGCGCTACACAGTAGGCTTTTAGGCTCTCTTCAGAGTAGGCAGATATAAAGATGGGAATCCGCGACCCAGTCAAGGTCTCGGAATCTCTACTATGACGACTGTGTGAAGCCATATTTGGTGGCTGGCACACAATCATAGCAGCATTACTGCCAGCCGCACCATAATTGTTGATGCACGCAACTTGGAAGTCTGTGTCCCATTCGTGAGTTGACAAAGGTATTTCTATTCGCTCTGGTTCTAGTACTGGGATCTTAGGATTCAGTGAGGTGAAGTTGGCCTGAATGGGGATCGTCTTGTACTGCATCATGAGTAGTACCTTGATAAGTGCAGCGACTCCGGAAGCGCCCTCAAGATGGCCGATGTTGCCCTTCACAGAAGCGACGTGCAATGGCTTTCTGCGACGAGACCCCGCAAAGACCTCACGAATACTCGCAAGCTCAATAGGATCGCCAACGGGCGTTCCAGTACCGTGAGCCTCGACGAATGATACGTTTTCAGGATCAATGCCAGAAAGAGATGATATCTTTCTGTAAAGCGAGATTTGGGATGGGGAATGCGGCACTGTGATGGAGGTAGAGTTGCTATTCTGGTTGACCGCTGACCCGGTGATGACACCAAGAATATTGTCTTCATTGGCGAGAGCAGCAGTGAGCTTCTTTAGAACAACTAAGCCGACGCCTTCACCACGACAGTAGCCATCAGCTCTAGCGTCAAATGGCTTTGTGGGTCCAGTGGGACTGAGGAAAGAAGCCGCTGCAAGATTTTGATAGAAGTTAGGGTTGGTGTAGAGACTGACGCCGCCAGCCAGAGCCTGAGAGCATTCACCAGCCTCAAGAGCTTTGCAAGCAGAGTGAATTGCAACAGCAGATGACGAGCAGGCTGTATCATATGTCACCGATGGTCCGGTCCATCCAAAGAAGTGACTGATCTTGCCGCTCAAGAATGCTCGTAGAGTACCAAGCGAAGAAAAAGCATTCGGCGGATGTGAGGCGACGTTATCATTGTAGTCGTTTGCGCAAACCCCCAAGTAGCATCCAATGTCGTCCGGAATCGAAGCTGAGAAGTTTCCAAAATAGCCCGAAGACTCTATGGCTTCATAAGCGACTTGTAATAGAAGGCGCTGTTGTGGGTCCATTGTAGCTGCTTCACGGGAGGATTTCTTGAAGAAACGATGGTCAAAAGCATCGATATCACGTACGAAATTGCCCCAGAACTTGAGCTTGCTATCTTGAGAGCGACGAAGTCCTTGTGTAGAGAATCGTTCGTCAGGCATCTCCTCAACCATGGATGTCCCCGAAGAAAGCAGTTCCCAGAATTCCTCAATGGAGTCTGCACCTGGGAATCTGCACGCCATTCCAACGACCGCGATTGTATGGTCTGGGTATCGACCATCTTGAGGTGCTGAGACTTCAGGAGTTACTGTTCCGGACGGGAGTGCAGGCTCGGAGCTAGCCAGTCTGCTCGGGAACAACTTTGAAGATTTCATCTTATTGACTTTCAGGCCCGACTCCCGAATGACTGAAGACGGAATGAAATCAAGTAAGCCAAAAGATGCGGCCACCGGCGTTTTGATTTGGATGAGTTGTGAGACTGCCGCAGATATTGTTAGGTGCCAATTCGCCATTTCTATCAAGATGCATCGGGTGGCATGCTTATGAAGAGAGCCTTCGGTCAGAACCTGGGCCGTGGTATTTGATCTTACTGGCACTATGAGCCTCTCAGCAGGGGGAAATTGAATGTCGTGCCTCGAGTCGCAGAGTTCGAAGATCTTTGTGAGCGCTTCTTGGTGTATAGAGGAATGATATCGGCCTCCTAACCCTGTAGATTTCACAGTCATGCCCTGCGAAGACAGATGTTGGGTAAGAGCAGCCACAGAGATTTTCGGAGTGGTAATAGTAACGTCCGTGGAATCCAAAACAACGGAGATGTATGCCTGTGATCAGATAAGTTTAGAGCCTTGCGTCGACGCCCTTGTGGGCCATGCTTACCTCCGGGTAGCTTTTCAAAGTCTCCAGTATGCTGTCATGGCCAGCTTCCGATCTCCAACGGACGGCGACGGAAGTAGTCTCGTTGACTTCATTTGCAAAAGCTCCGTCCAGGTCCACGTATGCGCCAATGCACAGAGCCAATTTCAAGGCTACTACACCAAAAACATCGATGTCTTCCTCGTCCTTTGAGCAAGCTACAGCAATTGCGGTGAGAATTCCAGTGCAGAAGCCTTGAATGCCTCCCGTCTTAACATTCTTTAAGACCTCGGCGTGGTTGGTTTGGAGACCGTCGATATAGTGAGAGTACTGGATGATATGTATGATGATAGTAAATGGCATTGTCAGAACATTAGGAGGCAACCCAAATATCGACTGTGACTCTCCATGATTGACCCATTCTACCAAGTAATCCAACCAAGCTTGGCCTGGGACTGCGGTCAATCTTTGGTCGTGAGCAATCAGATCCTGCCACAGCCTTGGAAGCCCTCTAATTGCAATAAGGACAGTTCTTAGTCGAGGTTCAAGTAGTAAGGCAGCTCTGAGCTGAAAGAGATACTCGGAGCTTGGCCATGTGGTCTGAGAACCAAACGCAATCATCGATGGGAAAGCAGTAGCAGTCCTCGCTGTAGTAGAAGGACCAGCAGCCATTTTTGAAGCCGTGAGCTAGACTCCCACTCTAGAATAGTTGATAATCTAGGGGTGAGTAGTTGAAGAGACTGAGGTCGTAGGTACGAACCAAAGTGTTAAATCCGATCCTTACCCCTTATTAGAAATATCTACTCGTTCTTCACCTTGCTCTAGACATAGCGATGGTAATCCTTCAACGGTTCGGACGCGGATGCGCACGAATACGGAGTCGGGTCTCTGGCTTCACTCTTACTCGGGTCACGTGCATTGGAGTCTCTGGTTTCTCATGTAAGCTGTGGGTCCACGTCACCCGCACTGGATGCCCAGACTAACTGCTGCAAAGAACCAGGAAGATAATTTGCGAGTATGGACAAAACTGCAATCACAGTCTCTAAGACGTAGCGTGGGCCATAGGTTCAATAATCTTAGCTAGTGGTTCCCTTTTCAAGACACTTCCGGTAACAGGTTCTTCGCCCTTATCTTCGTACTGTAACCTTTCTCAAATGACACTAGTGAAAGTGAATGTTGAATGTGTCTTGGCTTTCTGTAATTTTATCACTAAAGCTGCTCATCGGCTTCTCATGCGTGCGACGACTCGGGTCCTCTCACTGTAAGCTTGCTGAATATACTTGTCGCGAGCAGTACTTAAACAAAGCAACTCAATACAACGGTCATTAGAACAAATGAGATTGAGAGCGTGGAAGAAAAACAGAAAACTCCTATTATATAACACTTTTGATAGTCATCGCCGTATATTGGTGTATACTTTCTTTCCTTTACATCTGACATAATGTATACTGATGCAAGTGTAAGATGAGAGCCTCTGGGTTGGTCTTACATTTGATACGGGGAGCAAACAGAATGGGAGCATGACGATTCAATCTAAGACCGATGTAACTTTCAAAATCAAACTAGATACCCAATTCTTTTCCAGTAGCGAATATAGGACACGAGCAATTCACCACGGATGTGATTTAGATTTCTTAATGTCGATGATACATCCCTTGTGTTCTGGGTGTTGAGGACAACGCTGCCACAAGCCATATGCTCGAAATCCGTTCTGAAGAAATCCTCCAGTTTCTTCGCTGGAACCTTGTCGGTCATTTCGTCAGGAACCGCGCAAACTTTGTCTAGCCAGTAGGTGAATGGAGTGAATCCGGTATTTGGAAGACCAAGCTCGGGCGCCACGATTTGCAAGGCATCATGCCACGACTGTCTAATAGGGTTCTCGAGATGATAGGCCATCTTGGTGGTTTCTTTGCTCAGGAGCAGTTCTGACAGTGTCTCCGCTGCAGAGTCCACTGGTATCCAAGATAGAGTCTAGGTCACGATCAGCGACAACTTGATAGACAATGTGTTCCTTAGGATATGATACCCCTTCCAAGCGTGGTAGACTACCAATAGCTTGAGATGACTTGAAAAGCGCCGCAATGTGTTCATCAGTATTCCAGCTCCAATTCTTCTCCGATCCTGACATTTGGCCAACTCGAACGTAAATAATTTCGAATATACCAGCATGATCCCGTGCTGCCTTTTCTAGTATCTTCTCGCATACTAGCTTTGCCTTTGCGTAACCGATGTCGTTGGTACACCTCTCGTCTTCCATGAACACCTCTGGGACGATCGTCTCCTTGTTGACACGCGGATATTGGCCAACGACCGCAATCGAAGAAACGAACAACATTTTAGGCCGAATTAGAGGATGAACGCTGTGCGCATCCTTAGCTAAGTTTAACAGGTTTTGGAGTATCTGGAATTGAGCCTTGAAAGACAGAAGCATTCTCCTGAAGTCCATGGGCCAAGCGCTATGGAGTATGTGTGTCACCTGCTCTTGAATATGGGTATATTCGGTCTCCTCCAGACCTAGCAACGGCAAAGCCGTATTTGTTTGCAAAATCTCGATCTTGGACCACGCTTCAGCGTCGATAGTGATGCAGTTGGATTTAAGAGCTCCTACTTGTCGCACGTAGGCATCAGAGATCGGGTTGGGACGATTGAGGCAAATGACTCGAGCGACGGTTGGAAGAGATGCTAAATGAGCTAGTAGACAGCTTCCGAGGCTGCCCGTGCCGCCCGTCATCAACACCACTGCACCTACTTCTGGTCCTACACCGGCCTTGTCTGCCTTCAAAGAAAATTGCTCCACAAGATGGTCGATCGAGCTGTCATTGGAGGATATCTGAGCCGAAGCTTTCAGAGCTTTCGCTAGTTGAGTGACAGTGGGATTTTGATATACGAAATCACGAGGAACTCTCTCCGCTTTCGGTGCCGCTGCTGGTAGATTGGGTATGGACGTAAGTATGAAACGGCGAAGTTGTACAGCTTGAAGCGAATCCATGCCCAGCTCAAAGAGGTCATCATCGATCGTCCATTCCTCCGCCTTAGCCCTCCATGTAAGGCGAGTTTGGATCGTAGTCTTGAGGTCGTCTTCCAGATTGTCCGTATCTAGGTGAACGGCGCAGGCATCGACGGAACTGTTGTCTAGAGCTTGATAGACGGCCGCGATTTCCGCTTCGAACATTTTATGAATTTCCTTCCTCATGATAGATCCCTTATCAGATCTTGGAAGAATCATAGCAGACGGAGCGACGATGATTGCCTCCTTAGAAGAGATGCGAGCATGGGCATCCATCCGTTCGCCTGCCTGGAGAACGATAGGCCAACAGGACGACTTGAAATCGTGGTAGTCCTCCACTTTCAGGGACAATGAAGGCTGAATAATGACGCCGAGTTCGAATTGACCGTCACCAAAAGCAATAGCAGCTTTCACGAGCTGGCTTTCAAAGAGCATGGTCTCCAAAATTCGTGGGGTGACTTTCTCCCCATTAGCAAGCACTATTACGTCGTCGTTCCTTCCTACAGCGCTGAAGTCAGATGTGGGATTTTGAGGATTGCCAATGAGTTGGTCCTGGAATATGAAGTCGTTTGCCCAACCAAACGGGTGCGTGATCAGTGTATACGATTGTACACCATCCTCAAGTAAAGGGCCACGCTCAAGCCGCATATTCATGTCTTTTCTCAGTCGAAAGTAGCGCCAGTCGTAGCCAGGTCTCGGCACGAACAATGGTGCAATAGGCCCACTCTCTGTGCTACCATAATGATTCAACACCTTCACATCTGCAGCAGCAAGCTTCTCTCCTACGCTAGGCTTCAAAAGCCCGCCGCCAAAAGCAACAAATTGTAGAGACGCCAGTACCTGCAGTCCTTGACCTTTGGGAAGTGTAGATATCTCTTCAAGGATGGATGGGACCGAGATGAGCGACTGCGCCTTCGAAGATCGCAACAGGTCTATTATGAAAGCTCCGGTTGGGATTACAGAGGGAGGCGGAATACAAAGAGTTTTGCCGATACCGAGAGAGAGTGCCGGAGTGACTAGGCCATATCCCTGATACAAAGTATGAGTAGCCGACCAATCAAGGCTTAAAAGGGACACTGACATGGTAGAGCGGAAGCGTGGACAAGCTCAAGCTCAATGTTTCCTCGTCGCCGAAGAACTCGTGACATGTTGTGAAACACAGTAGCCACTTGTGCGATTGGTAGATTGGCTTCGGAAGTCCCGTCGTGCCGGAAGAATGGAGTATCAGCACATTGCGGTCGTTCTCCCGGACGTGGGTGCCTGCCTTGCATATGCTACCATCTGTACCTTCCCGCTCGGCCTGCGGGTCAAGGAAAGAGGAGGAAACGACCTGCGCATATATCACGGGCTTGGACCCTGTCGTAGAGAAGATGGAGAGCGCTTCTTTTACGGTATTCTTCAGGCGCGGCGACACGATGATTGTACAGGCGGCAGTCTTGGCCAAGAGATGATGAATGGCTGTGGGGCTCAATCTCGCAGACAGAAGAAGTACCTGCGGCTCATTAGCCGACACAGCTCCTGCTTTCACTAGGATGCAAGCGTACAGGGACTCCCAAACCCATCAAAGAGAAGAGATGGATCAATAGCCCAACATCGCTTTCGACATATAGAGCCACCGGCGCACACCCCGTGCCATCAGTGCTGCTGGATGGGAGCTTCAGCTCTGACAGTGTGTTCACGAGCCATGCCTGGCACTGCGCGATTGCACGCTTCAGCTGTAGGTGGGAGACAGAGAGTAATTGCGGTCGGCCATCTCGGATCTGCTTTTGCGCTTGGATACAGAAGAGATGGTGAGGATTATATGTTGCATTGTACTCAATCAACTCAGGCACTGTCTGAATGCTAGTGTTTTCTTGAGTATAAAGATTGATGTTGGCTCTGGAGAATGACGTGGTGGTCGACGGCGACATTGCCTCGATTGGGTGCTCCATCGTAGGGCTGATCACGTGATCTAAAACTGGGTAACCAAGAATTGATCTATGGAATGAAGACACCGAGAAAGCTTCTCTTCATCAATTTCGGCTGATACAGCGTTGATCACAAGCACCATTCGGGCACGGACTGTAGGCCTCGCTGCACCCCAAAGCAAAGACATACTCAGGTCCTGCGGCCCTATGCTGCACTTCCAGTATGATCCGCTGCTTGACCAAGGGGCGCTCAATATCTCTGCATGGTTGGAATGACTTCTGCTTCAGATTTCCATCTCATCTGAGGTATTTTGATATCCAGCTATTTGACTCACACATGGTATGGTGCAACTCGGGTCCTTTTGGAAAGCGGGGGCGCTATGCGAGTGCTGCATCATTGCCGAACACCATGGCCCCTGTTCTTGGATTCTCCCCTCAGGGGGCAGGTGCATACAGGGACGCTGAAGCGAAAGTCCATGCATCAGTCCTTTCCGGGACCAGTTGCAGATCCCATGGTTGGTACACTGAAGCCAGCCCCTTATTGGCGCCAACGTCTCGTCCTCTATCGTCCACCACCAATACCCTCTCCCTCCTTGACAGTTGCCCTGATGTCTCCTACTTGATGTTCATTCCGCATTCTATTCACTACAGCTATTATAGGTCCTTGCACAGGCCTCTACCCTTCTTTACAGCCAGTTCTTCGTGAAGCCCGCCATTCCCGCCCACTCTTTCTCCGGCCAAACTATCATCGTTACAGGCTCTAACACTGGCATCGGGCATGAAGCTGCGATTCACATCGTCCGCCTTGGTGCGTCAAAAGTGATTCTAGTAGTCTGAAACATTCCAAAAGGCCATGAAGCCTAGAAGTACATCGAGGTCAAAAAGGCAGGGCGGGCGTTGTGGTGGCATGGGAGCTACATCTAGCAAGGTACGCTTTCGTCAAGGCATTCGTACACCGGATAAAGGGACTGGAGGGATTGGATGCTGCTTTACAGTACATGGGAAAATCATCGCATGAATTTGAATTAGCTGAGATTGACGAGTACGTGGTACGCCTCCCCATCAATGATCACCAACGCCCGCCAGCTAAAGAATCCAGGCCATCCATCACAATCAAAGTCGTCTGCACATTCCTCCTCCTCGAACTTCGCTCTTCCGCCCAGAAATTCCACACGACCCCGCGCATCTCCATCGTCCGCTCCTCTGTCCACAACTTGATAGAGCTCCCCGCAAAAGCCGATCCCGAGATGTTCAACGCCTTGAACGACAGAAACAGCGCCGTGGCGAAGCTGTCCACGCGCTACATCGACGGCAAACCCCTCGAAATCCTCTGCAGCCGCGGCCTCGCCTCCACCCTCGCCTCCGCCCTCTCCTCTTCCCGAAAACCAGTTGTTATCCTCAGCCTACTCAATCCAGGCTTCTGCGCCTCCGCTTCGTTTCAAAATCCCTCAACCGCCTTTAAACTCCAGGTCAAGGCTTTGGGAAGGACGGCAGAGGAGGATTCCAGGGCAGTGGTGGATGCGGTTGCGAGCGGCAAGGACAGCCATGGGCAACATTTGAGTGATTCCGGGATTGCCAAAGTCAGTGATTTCGTGCTAAGCAGGAAGGGGTGGGAGACCCAGGAGCGGGCCTGGGACGGATTGAATGCCTCATTGGAGAAGACTAGGGTACTGGATGATGTTTAATGCCTTTGTTCGGTAACAGATCTCGGCCAAATTTGATCGTTGCATCTCATGTAGGACATGACCGATTGACGAAGAGTACTCGAGCACCGAACGCCACATCCAGTTTCAACATATAAGACAGCCCACCTCTGCACCCCAATCACATCCCTCCCTCGAAAAGATCACCCCCCGGAACTTAACCAACAGCGTACTCTTACCACCCTTCATATCGTCTAGCACCAAGCACCTACGCCGGCCTATCGGAACCCTAAAGCCCCATTTACCTCATTCATGATCCTGCAATCTTCTCGGCGAGTGCATCTGCTAGGTGATCCCAAAAAAGCGTTTGTGGCGTTTTGAGGAAAGCCCAACCGACCAAAGGAGCCATGTGTTGTGGAGATCTCCGGCTGGAATGCAGTGGAATCTGGCTCGAATTTTCCATTGCCAATGCTCGTACAATGTCCCGGCCTCAAATCACAGCCATGAGCCCCGTGCTTGGCTCAGGCCAGGTGCAATTCCAAAGCACTTGTAAGCGCATTGTCCAGGCAACCCTTTCATGTGGGGCGTTATCCGAAATCTTGGCGCAGGAGTCTTGACGTCCAGGACTTCCGGTGCCCCTCTATATAGTTTTGAGAATCAGCCGGCAATGGTGCGGTCAGAAAGGGGAGTGGGGCATGGCTATAATAGCTTACCTTTGGGCGAAGCTGGGAACGCCTTGAGAAGAGAGAAGGAGAAAGTAGACACCTCACCTAATGTTGCAGTTGGGGATGATTGTAAGGGGTGAATTGAGGACCAAGACTCACACTGAACTGAAATCAGAAATGTACTGGGTACCTAGCGACGTAGTGGCAGGGGAGGTAAGTAATGCAAAGCAATGCAATGCAAGCTCCATGTCAGCATCAACAAGATAAGGTATGCATGTCAGACCCTCCAACTAAGTATGAGAGATGGGAGAGGTGGGACCCGAGTAACGGTGCCGTGGTGCCGTGATGAATAAAGTAAAGCAACTTATGAATGGCAGCAGGCTTTAGCGTCGGGTCGGATATCATGACTTCTGAGGGGCGAGACGCGAGAAGCGATAATCGTATCTACCCCCATTCGCGCCATACCCCACCACCCCCATTTGCGCCATCTTAAATCCGATAAATCCGACATAGATAACTACCACTACCACTCATTCAAATAGCCTACTACCACAGTCTACTATAATGGCCAATACTACGGTACCATAGTCGCCGTCTATAGGCCTAGCATAATAGATATCTCTACCTTAGACTTAAATATGGCCTACTTAAGCCCAATTAAGAAAAAGACTACTATACCTCTTATATTAAACCTACTACTACTATTAAACCTCGCTCTATTATAGTAATAATATCGAGATAGAAGAGATAGAAGAGATAAGAAAATAGTAGAAGAAGAGGTAGAAGAAGAAGAGATAGAAGAAGAAGAGGTAGTAGAAGAAGAGATAGTGACGGTTCTTTCAAGATACGGTAGGCCGATAAGGCCTAAAAAACGATATTTTAAACTCTTCGATATAGAAGCCTTAGTAGTAATAATAGATTAATATTATTATACTAGTTTATCATATAAATTTGATGAAAGGTAGACATTTTAATATTACGTCGAAATTATCGAATTTGAGATAACGTAAATAGAGATATAGCGTTAATGAGGGTAGATACGATTAAGTTAATTCGGGCTTACAGTTCGATAGAGGTAAAAAAAAGTTCGATAGAAGTTAGTAGATTCTAAGTATATATACTTCGTTTAAAATAGATCGAATATTCTAAATATATATAAATATCTTATTAAAAATTAAAAAGCTATACTCGAGAGTATTAATACTTTACGCTATAGTAATAAATATTTCTATTTTAATCTATATCGAGTTTTCTACGAGAGCTTTAAAGAAATAATTACTAATAATTATCTTCTTTCTTTATAAGACTTATTCTTAAATCTTAAGAGATAAAAGTTATAATTTATTTAAATAATATACTCTATCTAAAATCTTCTAGAGAAAAACTTATATTTTCGAGATTAAATTTTAATTTTAATCTCGAACTCTTATTAGATTTAATACTATATACTCTCGACTAAATTATTTTTAATTATATTTAATTTATACTCTAGAGATCTTATTAATTAAATAATTAGCTCGAAGTAAAATATAAATATATTATTAATAACTCGAGTAATCGCTAGACTAAAAAGCTTATCTAAGAATATCTATACTTTATTATTATGAATTCTTTTACTAAACGTCTCGATAAAGCTTATTATCTTAATACTATAATACTATAGAGACTTCTTCTATTATAAATCTTCTATAAGTATTAATTATTATATTATATATATATTATTTATACTTATAATTTCACTTAAAATTAATTTCTTTATATTTTTACTATAAATATCTCTATTTAGATCTATATCGAGTCTCTTACGAGAGTCTTAAGAAAATAATTACTAATAAATAGCGAGATAGATAAGTAGTAGCCGGAAAGGTATAATATTTAATATGGAATTTAAGCAATTTTCGAGATATCATCTTAAAAGATATAAGATATTTCTAATCTCACTCGATATTTTATATATAAATTATCGTATTTTAAAATTATTTCGTATAAAATAGACTAGCCTCGTTATAGAGCTTTAAGAATTATAATATTCTATAAATAGATTATAAAGATATAAATTTTCAAAGAAAAGAAGTAAAAGTTAAAAAATTCTAAGTTCAAAAAATTTCATATCGTTTCGACTACTATTTAAGATAAGAAATTACTTTACTATAATAATATAATTTATTAAAGACTTTACGAGAGACTTTATTATAATAATATTAATATCGAGATTAAATTTAACTCTCGAAGAGTAAAAATAGTTTAAATTAAGAACTATTTAAAAGTATAATATTAAATTTTATATTTATTACTCTATTAGAAAGCGAAAATTAAACTTTATAATTTAAAAGAAGAACTAAGAAATTAAAATAGAAATTAAAATATATATATCTTTTTTTAAATAAGCTATCGAGCGTAGTAGTCGAAAGGTATAGTATTTAATATAAGATTTAAGTAATTTTCGAGATATTATCTTAGAAGATATAGAATATTTCTAATTCTACTCGATATCTTATATATAGATTATCGTATTTTAAAATCGTCTCGTATAAAATAAACTAGTCTCGTTATAGAACTTTAAGAATTATAAGATTCTATAAATAGATTATAAAGATATTAATTTTTTGAAGAAAAGAAGTAAAAGTTAAAAAATTCTAAGTTTAAAAAATCTTATATCTTTTCGACTAGTAAATTCGAGTAAACTTATTACGAATATAATAAGTAGAATAGAGAGATAAAAGATAATACTTACTAGTAGATTTCTTTATAAAATCTTATTATCTTATATCTAATCTATAAATTTATAATAGTAATAGTAATTAATTTTCTATTATTATAATAGAACTTTAATAAGTAATATTATAATTTCTTATCTTTAGATAATTATTACGCTTTATAATTTAAAAAAAATACTAAGAAAATTTAATAGAAAATTATAAAATTATAAAAAGATTAAAAGTAGAGAAAAATATTTTAATAATTACGAACGTTAATTTATTTACTTATAGTATTTAATTAAAAAGCGTAGCGAACTCGAATTTATAATTAATTATATATATAAATTTAAGAATTTTTAACTTAAATCTATCTTATTTTATCTCTATAGTATTAAAATATAATTAGATTTATTGAGATTACTATTATATAATTTTTCGAAACTTAAACTTTTCTTTTTAATTTTTTCTCTTTTAATATCTTAAATATAATATTATAAACTTTTTTATTTCGAAAAAGAAATCTTTAACTTAAGTCTTATTCTATTAATATTAATAAGTTTAAGCCTATAAATTAAATTTATAAAAAGTTTTTTCTTTCTTTTCTAATATCGAGATTAAATTCGACTCTCGAAGAGTAAAAATACTTTAATTTAAGATTTACTTAGAATTATAAGATCGAATTTTATAAATTTTAGATTATTAGAAAGCGTAGAATAAGTTCTATATTTAAAAATATAATAATAAATTTTTAATAGAAAAAAGAGAAGTTATATTAATAATAGATCTCTAGATAATTAATTAATAAGAAGTTAGTTTTAATATCTATTACGAGTAAAGGCCTATGAATTAAATTCATAATCATTTTTTTTAATTAAGGCTGTCGAGTAAATTTAATAAGCGGTCTTTAATAAGCGATCTTTAGTAAGCGATATTTGAATTCCTTGCGCTTTAATAATTATAAGACTAAATTTAGATTTTTTTTTAAAAGCCTATATTTCGTTCTATAATTTAAAAAAAAATCTTAAAAATTTAATAGAAAATAAAAAAGTTATTCTATATATTAATAATATATATTTATTATTTTTAAATTAGAGCTATTCGGCTATCGAGCGAACTTTAATAAGTAATATTTAAATTTCTTACGCTTTAATAATTATAGAATTAAATTTAGAAACTATTTTTTTATCTAAAAGCCTATATTTTATTCTATAATTTAAAAAAAAAATCTTTAAAATTTAATAGAAGATAAAAAAGTTATTCTATATATTAATAATCTATATCTATTTTTTTAATAAAAGAGATATAAAAGAAGAAGATTTTAATAATTATAAACGTTAATTTATTTATTTACGATAACTTAGATAGTCTAATTAAAAAGCGTAGAGAACTTAAATTTATAATTAGCTATATATATAAATTTAAGATTAATAGTAGAAAAAGAGATTTTAATAATTGCGAACGCTAATTTATTTATTCGTAATAACTTAGCTAATCTAATCAAAGAGCGTAGTAACTCTAAATTTATAATTAAATATATATATAAATTTAAGATTTTCTAACTTAGCTCTATCTTATTCTTTTATATATATTAATAAGAGTTATTAAATTTAAATTAATATTAATTAATTTAGAATTAACCTAAACTATTTTACGCGTAAAATTAATTCTTAAAATCGAT